ACACATCCGCCAAGTTTGACGCGTGCTGACAGCGTCTCAGTCGGCAAACAGTTGACAACAAGTTTTGACAATTAAACCTACGAGTGCCAGCAATTAATAGGGATTGAGGCCACGGGCACAGAGAGTGACAGAGAGAAAAAGAGCGAGAGCGAGAGAGAGTCGGCTGCGGCTTGAAGCCTACGTTTTATCACCTTGTTGGGTTTTGTGCGGCTTTCTTTCTTTCATTCGCCTAATGGATTCTATGTAACAGGCACTTACACTCTCCGTAATGTACACTTTATAGCACAGTCAGTTGCCAAATTTGTTTGTTTTGGTCTTTCTTCATTTAATATGCACATATTTACTCACGCCTCTGGTAATTATGTGACGTAATTTGGCTTGCTCGAGCCTCTTTCATACACTACCCAAAGAAGGTATTATCACTCTCTTATAGAATGTGCTACATTCATTCAATTGAATGTGACATATTCAAAAAATAAATTGAAATAATATTTGTTCAATTTTTCAATTAAAGTTCCGATTCATATATGTTCTTAATCTAGATAACGAGCTACATTTTTCTGCACGTCTCCTGCGTCCTTTTGTTCTTATCAATTGTGGTCAATAAGTCCAGAAATACAAGATCCTTGTTGTGGCTGCCTTCGGTATGCTTTATATAAAAGTCCACATTGTATTATTATGTATATTATCATACTTTTTCAGAAGTCACGAATTTTGGGAATTCAATTATGTCTATTTTTAGAATAGCAAACTTTATTTAAGACAAACATTAATAATACTAATGCCACATCAAATATATTTGTTTTTAATGTTATTTAAAAGAATCTGATTTCTGTTTTTTTAATTTTTTGCTTAAATTCAAATCTGTTTAAATAACAACAATTTGGTCTTGCAAAGCACGCCAAATACTACAAATTTAATTCATTTATTATTTCCATATTATTTGTATTTTCGCACTGTAACATTCTAATTGCTTTATTAATGTGATCATGTTTACTTTGGGATATGGATAGAGTATGCAGACTACGAACATGCTTTCGCTTTTCAATTGATTTCGACTGCATTTTGTGAGCTTTGCTTTGAACTTGAAATTCGAAGTCCGAAATTCGAAATTCGAAATGCTGTACAACTATCTGCATAATGTTAACCGAAATGGCGGCCACTAATCAAAGGCTTGTTCAACTTTTCCCTGGGACAATGAGTTGACATTTCACTTTTCACTTTAAGTGCTCTTCTTGTCCGATAAACTTGTATATATATATATATATATATATATATGTATGTATGTGTATTTTTTGGTCATTTTCAGCTGCAGACAAAGCGACTCAAGTCTTGCATTTCCGGCCTGGGTTAGCCCTTCTGCTTGGTTATCGCCGCAAGTCATAGAGCTGCGGCGAACTGGCACACACATGCATACATGCATATGTGTGTGTCTGTATTTTGCCCTTCTGCTTGGTTATCGCCGCAAGTCAAAGAGCTGCGGCGAACAATGAATACATACACACACACGCATGCATGCATATATGTGTGTGTGTGTGTTTGTACATACATAATGCGCTGCCGCTTATCAGCTGCAGGGGCAATAAAGCGAAAGCGATTGATGCCGCTTGGGAAAAGACCCGCTCAGCGAATAATCAGCATAGAGTAAAATGGCCAAGCTTTGCGCTAATCTGCCGCTAATTGTTTCTTAATGTGTTTATGAGACCAAGTCAACTACCAGGCAGCGCAGGGCAGGGCAGGGCAGGTAGCAATTGCCACAAGAATCATTTACCTGTTGAGCTCGCGGCGCTCTGACTCATAAGGCAAACGGCTCGCCGTCGGCAATTGCCGATCGTAAATTGCAGCGAGCAAAAACAAAGTAAACAAAACGTTGGAAGAAAAAAACCAATAACAAAAGGAATATTGTCAGGCCTTAGGAGGAAGTCAACCGTCGCCAGCTTCGTCTCGCTAGGGGGTAGAGGGGGGGGGGGGGGCGGCGGCAGGCCAATTGATTCCTTCCTGTTGCTTGGCCGAGCCACAAACACAAAAAACAAATCTAAATATTTAACGACTAAATTGAAGCTGAAGGCACGCTCGTTCACATTAGTCAAATCTTCATGGCACGACGCGGACTTACCTGCTGCTGCCGCTGCCTCTGCCTCTGCTGCTGCCTCTGCTGGCATAATCAATAAAACATAAACAGTGGGCCGACAAGTTGTCGAGTCGAGTTAACTCGAGACCGAGTCCCAGCCCGAATCCGATTCCGAGTTCCCCCGAGTCCCATTCAGCTGGCCGCATCACGTAACGGCAAATGTTACAAGGAAAACCTACTCAAACAAACAAAAAACAACAACAACAACCACAGACAAAAAATACATAACTACCTAACATATATATATGTATGTGTGTACACTCGGAGAAAAACAAAGAGAGTTTTGCTGACAACTGAACGCAAGGCAAGGCTTAAGTAGCTTATCCTAAATCCCAAAATTCCTAAAAACAAAACTCAAGAACCTTATGTCTAAATTTACACTTCTTATATCTAGTATACAAATTATTTTGACAATTATGTCATAGTTGTTCATAGTTCAAAGTTCAAAATATGTTTTTATTAAAGTTTAAATAAAATTTATTGTAGTCCCGAAATTTCCACCAAGACCTAAGATCCTATCTTTAAACTTCTTATTTCTAGTATACTAATTCTTTTAATAACGCTTTTTATAATGTTTATTCAAGGTTTAAATATGTTTTATTGAAATTTATATAAGATAAACCACAATTTATTGTAGTCCCGAAATTCCCAAATTCGACTCTAAAGTTTCTATTTCTAGCTATGTACTTTTATAAATATAATATAATACTTTTAATAAATATCTTAAGTATTTTTATGTTTATTTTCAAATATATTTCATCAACATTTAAATGAAAAGGAGAGTTATTCTAGTCAATTCAGTATTTCGAGCACGTTTATTTGTTTCAGTGTATAAATCTACAGTTGTGTATATATGTAAATAATTCTCCAAAACTCGTCGTCGCCGTCGTCGACGTCATTGTCGACAGCTTAGCGAGAAGTTTTGTTTGGGCATTCTGTCCGAGCAGGTAGCCCGTCAGTCAATGGACCGGCCTTTCAATCAGTTTGCAGCGAAAGAGAGAGAATCCCCCTCCCCCCCTCGCCTGATGCGAGGCAAGCGAACTTGAACAACCGTTGGATGCGACGGAACAGCGCCAATCAGATCATTGATAGAGAGGCTTGAGCTGAATTCGCCTCAAACCGAACTGTTCGCACTGCAATCTACATTTCATCATTTTATGCTTGTCAATTATGATTGCTTCAATTTGCACGTGCCAGATTTTGGGCCACAGATTGGACTCATGTAATTGGACAAACTTGCCAAATGCATTATTTTTGTTTTAAGCAATCTATAGTCGTATATATATATGCATATATGACAGATGTGTGGCTTATGCGTAGTTTGTCATGTTGCGGTTGCAGTTGTCACTCGCGTATGTCTCATATGTTATTCGCCCCTGAGTAGATGTTGTCACTGATAATCCGAATGGATACACAACAAAATTATCTTGTGGTCAATTCGTTAGCAACCGAATGCCATGGGGTTTCTCTTAAGTGTAAACTGTTTAATTGCATCAAATTAATATTAATATAATAAAAGAGTTTATTTAATTTTAGAAATGATTTACAAAGGTCGTTTTTTTATAAAGATACAAATTTAATTGATATCAAGAACATGAATGTAGAGTTAAAATATATAATATTGGATAGAACAGGAAACAAAGTTAATAAAAAGGTTTTTTTGAGCACTTTGCAACAAAATCGAAGAAGACTAAATACCCTTTCATTCATATGAGTGATATAGTTATTTAATAGGAAATAGTAAAAGGTAGAAATTACTTGAAAGAATATCATGACTGTCATAATTTCAAGGCCAGATGTAAGACAAATGAGCACAAATTGGAAGGATTTGAACCATCAGGACTGTCTGATTTAGATAGGATCATGAATATAATGAGTCTGAATAGAGAATACTGCAATGATTCATGACTCAAAATTCAAATACTCTCTACGCTTGGATAATACGGAAATTGTTTCGAAATGGATGTAATACTCGTACTGCGATCATATCATTAACTATAGTTAAGGCAAATAAATAGGCCTATTCTAGTCGAATCAACAGTTATCGTACGACGTCACATTATATATGTATATACATATATTTATTTGTGCCTCACGTGTTTCACATATTTATTGCGTTCGTGTTTGCCTCCAGTTTCCATGCTGCAGCTGATGCTCGATATGTTGGCTGCCCGAAGCTTGTTTTTTTCTTCTTCTTTTTTTTTCATTGTTCCTGCTCTCCTTTGTGTCGGGTTTTCTTTTGTATTGTGTCCCATAAAGAATACAAGCATAGCGCAGAGGCCGAGGCCGAGGCTCAGGCTGGGGCTGGGGCTGAGTCCGGCCAGAAGTGCGTAACAGCAAATTGGCTACCTACACAACTGAGTAGGGTATCGTCATGATGATGCAGATGATGATGATGATGATGATGATAATGTGAAGTACATCAGCTGAAGTCGGGCGAAAAATGCTCATACAAATTCGCCCCACGCTCAAGTTTTGCCCAAGGGGCGAATTCTATGGCGCTAGAGCAACACAAACACACACATGCACATGCACACACACACAGTGAGGCCCACTCAGAAGCAGCAGAAGCCGTATGCCTGCCAATGCCCTATTATTATCCAAAAGCAAATAAATGCAAGGCAGCTTCGCCCAAACGGCCGCATGTTGATGGATCTGCCAGGCAGTCCGGTATTATAGGGGCGACAGGCAGCAGGCAGCGGGCAGCGGGCAGCGGGCAGCAGGCAGCAGCGCTCAGAGACCTACACGACAAGCGTCAGCGTCAGCGTCATCAATATACGGACAGAGTCTTGTGTGTGCAGCGGCAACAAAATTCCAGAGCGCACGCGTTCTCAACTTTAGTTCTTTGCGAGTGGCCAACGCGTTCGGTTCGCTGCGTGGTCGAAGTTTTAAAGAAAACGTTAAACTGACAGCTGCATAAAAGTGTTAAAAAATAACAGAAGAGCAGAAGAAGAATATCTCTCCCGCTCTATCTTCCACTTACTGTGTGCGTGCTAGCCGGCCAGTTTTATCAAGGAGCAACAAGCTAATCAATCACTCGTTTAACATGGCCATCGCTGAGAGCCATCTATCGGGCAGCTGCAAAGCTGTTCCTGGCAGATGCTATAACAGGAACAGGTCACATACCCCCGCATCGACGTCGTCGCCGTCGCTGTTACTGTTGTTGTTGTCGCTGCTGCTCGTGACGCTGACAGCGCTGCCCACTTTGTGCTCGGCACTGACTTGTAAGTACTCGTATCAGATACGCCAACTTCATCAGCTGCGGCTGCATCTTCTTCAGCTTGCAGCTACTTCATCATACACACACACATACATACATACATACATACATACATACATACATACATACATACATATATATCTTTTGCTGTTGGCGTAATAGAGTTGTTGTTGTTGTTGTTTGATCGCGACAGGCCTTTGACTTATTTGCTGCTGCGGCTGCATTTTCTTTGGCTTTTGTTGCTGTCATAATCCAAAAGATGCATTTCGCGTAATTATGCCACGGAAGAGGCGCCGCCAAAAGCCGCAACGAAAACTTCGACTTGGGTGTCATATAAATGGCGAACCGCAAACCAAAATCAGACGCCCAAACAGCGTGCGAAAGTTCAATAATGTTTAGTAACATGACAATTGAGGGGGTCGCTGCGCGAGTTCAACTCGCGCGATAAAACGCAGATAAACAACAGGAGCGGTTCAGGCAATTGCGTTTGATTGAGTGCATTTGCAAGGGGTGGGGACATTGTCTCTTATACGTATAAGACATGCGAGCGGGTGCAACGAACTTGCTGGAAATAACATAAATGTTATATAAGGACTTCTTAGGGCCCGGCCCGGCGATGTACAGTTTGAGGGGAATAGAGAACAGTCCGATAAAAAAAGAGCAGCGCTGACAAAATGAACTGAAAGAAGCTTCTGGCAGCCGAACAATAGAATCAAACTCAATAAGCACGTTAAACGATTTAATACAAAATTGCGCTTTTGGGGCTGACAGATATATGTAACATACATGCACATATATGTATATGATGGTAGTATGAGGCGTAGTCAAATAGCTGTTAGGGAACAGTATGACTATGCTAATTATTATTATTACTCCTAATATTATAAGACTTTTCTGGACAGCCTCAACTTGTATGACCTTCAGCTAAGGTAATACTACAGCCATTCGGTTACCGGAAATTTCGTATTCCCCGTTATTCAGTTGCCCAAATATAATCGCACATAATTTTTGATAATTTAAACATATTAACGCAGTGAAGCAATTCAGACAATTGATATTAGTCCAGTGCGTAGGGAGCGTGGACAACTACGCAACCCACGTACATATCTATTCTCTTATACACACGCACACACACATGCACATACAGCTCAGCTCGCCCTCTGTCAGTCATTCGATTTAATTGTACTTAGATTTCTCTCACTTCCTTTTGCGGTTTATTCGGAGAAATTTCTATACAAATGCTAGAAAAAGTCCAGCCAGGCGAATAAGTACTTGATAATGCTGAAAAGCCAAGTCAATAACCGATATGCTGTTATATTGTTATGCAGGGAAATTCTTTTGCATATCCGCTTTTATGCGTACAAAAATTACAATCTGCCTAAGAACTAACGGAATTTCAACGGAAGTGAAACATTTTTGCATCGATGCGTCACTATTAGTTTTTGGGAGGGTTTTTTTTTTGTAGGTAATTTGTTTTAGGGGGAAGTATAATGGTGGGATATTAAAAGGATCTTATTAGCATATAAAACTATAATTAGTTCGCTAATGAAAGTAGGGAATATAATCAAATAATTCTTAGATAAACAGGGAATTAATGTCTTACAGTTATTCTATTGTAAGATAATTGAAACTTATAAATAATATAAATCGTGTCTAAACGACATGTTTTCCACATTAAAATATTGAAACATATGTTTTCTACGAATGTCTTCCCACCTCAAGATCATGCCACACAACATGAGGCCAGCTCGATACGCACACAAAGATAATTTTCTAACGCACACACACATGTAGACTGGAACGAGCAGATGATGCTGCTCCGGTTTGGGTAACTGCAAACGTTGCAGTCGCTGCAGCCGCAGCAGCGGGCAGTGCAGCAGGCCCCGAAATCGATTTCTTTTATTTTCTGTTAATGCCATTTCATTTGGGCTTGCATTTGTCTTTGTTTTTGTTTGTGCCGCATGCTTTGTCCCATTTTAAGACATTTAGACACTTCTTCTTGTTGTTTTTATTTTTGTAGCGAGCGTTCCCAAAGGGATTCGAGTGGAAATGGTCATTGAGCCCGCCGTCGATGCATATCTCATGCAGGGCCACAGATAACTAATTTCCAACTTCCACGAATGCAGTTGCCGATGCATGCGTGTGTGTGTGCGTGTGTGCGTGTGCGTGCGTGCATGTGTGGTGTGTTCGTGTTCGTGCGCGTGTGTGTGTGTGTCGGGAGAGAACAATCGACTCATAAATAAAGCAGCTACTTTGGGCGACTGTCTGTTGGAAGGGGGCGGGGCCTGTTCTCCTTGCATTGTTTATTGTGCTACTAATTTGGGATTCCTCGGGTTGTTGTTGTTGTCATATGTGTGTTTGGAATTTTAATCGCTGCATCGTGGACACTTGGACGCATTTTAAATTATGAGGCGCGGGCGAGAATTTGGGTTGCGGCGCGTTCGTGACGTCGACATGGACATGGACATATCTAGATACTAGAGCTGCATTGGAAAGGGGGAAGACATTTCTGAATGGAAATGTGTGAGAAAATGTGCGCCGCTGATGACGGCGATAATGGCCATGTGGCTACACACACACACACACACACACACACACACATGTTGGGCTGGGCTGGATGTCGTGATCGTAAAATAACAATCGAGCAGTTATATTAGTTTACGATTTGGTTAAATGGCATGTTTATCAAGTTTGTTGCGTCTGAGCTATTAATAAAATGCATATGAAAATGCATTTCGTGCATTGTTTAATTTATAATTGATTTTTGAAATCATGGCTGCAGAGAAAGTCGTATTGATATGCATTTATAAAATATTACTATAACTAATAAGATCTACTAAATTGAGGTAAATCTAATTTAGTGAGTTTCCATTTGATGTTTAGCCGAGTCAACAACCCTGCCGTCGGTGGACACTGAGGAAGTCACCACGCTAAACCCACCACAGCAACCAGTGAACGAACTCCATGTTGAGCCAACTGTTACCGCTGTTAACGAAACGAACGTTCGGCTCGAGCCCGAGCCCGAGTCCGAGCCCGAGCCCGAGGAAACGGCTGCTGCCGAAGTTGCCGATGAATTTGCCCACACCAGCTTCGTGGCGCTGGGTGGCGAGGGACTGGAGCAGGGCATACGCAATGCGGTGAAGAGCGAGGTGGAGTCGGAAATCGAAGCAGATGCCTCTGGACTGGTGGAAACACTGCAAGTTGACCACAAAGAAGACGAGCACAAGACAACAAGCAACAACGAGGAGCAAACAGGTAGGTTTCCACTGGGTATAAGCCGTGGTGAATAACTGCTCAAAAGCGAATACTCTCCAGATGCAGCTCAAGGTGTACGTGAGCCGAAAACTCTGGCAACGGACGTGGAGAAGGTTGAAGAGAGCGTCAAGGTTGAGGAGAAAGAGAAAGCTGTCGAACTTGAGGACGTAAAGAAGGTTGAATCGACGGAGATTGACTCCGAGTCGGATGATACTCAAGAATCTGTGGAAGCTAAGGAGCCTGCGATTGCTGAGAGGTCGGACGCACTAGTTGACAGCTCTCCGGCGGAGAGCAATCCGGTGGAAGCAGAGAACCGACCGCTGCCCAGTGTGACCAGCGATTTGGTGGCCGTGATCTTCGATGAGAATCGTGCGATTACCGAGCAGCCCATCATGAAAACGAACCTGTTAGCCCTGGAACGGGAGCACGAGGAATTCCGCGAAGTGGAGACAACCCCGCAGCCCATATTCGAAGTGCCCAAGCATCAGGTGACCAAAAAGCAAGGTGTCGAGGACCTGCTGCCCAAGGAGAATACCGAAAAACTGGATGAGCCGCAGTCACCACCAGAAGGAGAGGAGAATGCCAGGGATGAGCGCAATCTGGAGACTACAGCGGAGAGTACATCGGAAGCATCCGCTCAAGATCAATTGAATGAAGTCGAAAAGAAAGATTTGGATGTAAAACCCGCAGCTTTGAGCACCGCAGAACCAGATTATGTGGCTCCAACGGAGGCAACGCCGGAGCAGGCTGTCGTGACTCTGCCGGCAGAAACTTTGACGCCTGCGGAAGGCGAGCAAGATCAGTCGGAGGATGAAGAGAAACCTGATCTGAAAGAGTCAAGTGGAGGCGAGTCAAGCTCTGCCAGCTCCACGGCATCCCCGACACGATCTGAAACGGATAAGGCTGATGAATCTGTCGAGGATGACAGCCGAGATGAGAGCGATGCCGAGAAGGCTGAATCGGAGACGGAGCAAGGCGCTGTCCAGCCCGCTGACAAGGACTCCTCCGAGGAGTCCGAGGAGCTGTCGGCAGATGAGCCAAAGGCCCGAGCCGAAGACAGCACCGCGACTCCGCTCGTCTCCTATCCGCCGCACAATGCGGGTCAGACGTTTGTCAGCAATCTGGCCGACGAGCGCAGCGCCCATCTCTCGCTGGCGTCCAGCAGCCGCTCCACACTGATCATTGCACTCTGCTCCGGCACCGCCGTGCTCTTCATTGTCGTCTCGCTGGTCATATTCGTGTTGTCGTTCCAACGCCAGCACGGCACACTGGACATCGAGATGCAGGAGCAGCGTTTGGGCAAGGACGACCTGGACCAGGAGGATGCGCAGATGAAGCTGCTCGATGTGGAGCTGTCGCCGCCCGTTATCATTGCCATGGGCAACGAGGAGACCGACGAATGCCTCTAGACATCCCGCACTTCAGCCGGCACGCTTCTACGGCGCATTGTAAATACTTTATAACATTGAGATTGCGTTTGGTTTTTTTTTTTTTGAAGCATGGAATCCTTGAGCTAGCTTCTTCAACAGGTTGTTAAACTTTCGACTCCAAATTATGCGCAGAATATCGACAAAAAGAAAAAAAAAAAAACAAGCAAACAAATAAAAACATTTGCCATATTGTTTAATTTTAAGCGAATCCTTTTCTATAAGTTTTTCCCCGTTCAGGAAAACACGAAAAATTATTTATCACTAGGACTTGGATCTAGATTTAAGCACACTTTTATTGCGACTCTGATTGGGAGTCTGAATAAATAACATATTTTCAACTAATTCAAAAGCACAGAAACTTTTTTTAGTCTTAACAAAAAAAGATACCTTCTACAGAAGCCAGGATGGGTTTCGTTTTGGGATTTTCATCAGCAAATACATATATCCTTGAACATTTGTGTGTATTTGATTTTTCGGAATGAAAGGCATTGGCATTGGCATTAACTTGCTCTTAAAACCGATAACCGATAAGTTATCGAATTTCATGAAATCGGATTTCGATACCGATGTTTATCGATTGCCTGAAAGCTCGTGCTAAGCGTGGCACTAGAAAAACCTATCAAAATTTAAGGACTTTTGAGACTGAAGTCGGAGATGCTTTCTTTATACAAATATTAAACTAATTAATTGAAAACTTAATATAAGTCCTTAAAGTCCTATAGAGAATTGAATATGATATGCAGATACTAGATACCACATCCAGATAATAGATATCCTTGCACTTCATGATTTGATATTAGCTTGCGATTCATTTTCATTGACAGCCTAAAAGTAGGCAACACATTTTACTTCGCACAGTGCGATTTTCTGTTGTAATGCCTGTATAAAGTCTATTTAATAATACATACTAGATATTATTTTTAATGTATTTTGTTTTTAATACGTGGCGTAAAATCATTCTGGATTTTACATTAAAATATCATCGTAGAAACGGAGTGCTTAGGAACTATATTTTTATATTTTAAAAATCTAATGAAATAATAAAAAAAAGAGACAAAAAGCGTCATTATAATCATAAAAATATAGAATACGAATCAATAGAGCTAACATTAAGTTAAGTAAAAGATAATTCAACGATCGCTTGAAAATGTTAACATTTAAATTGTCCCTAGATGTGAATTGTCCTTTTCAATGCATTTCAACTAAGGCATTTTATTGATCTCATCTATTTGTAACTCTGGCTTAAGCTCTGAAAATGTATTATTACATATACTGTAATGCCAAATAGGGCAAAATCAGAATCAGAATCCATGAAAGCTCATGGAGGTCAACCAGAAATGATTTAAAGCTTTGCCACATTCAAATATCAGGCAGCGCAATTTATGGCATTAGTGCAACTAATTGCATTGAATAATCAACTTTGACGAGGCGGCGCATCAAAGGCCTCTTTTAATTAACTGACAAATGAGAGCAAGATCTATTGAACGGCGCGACAGAGAATGCGAGAGAGAAAGCTCAAGAGCAACAACAACAGTTCGCTGCTGCCAACATAATAAATAGAAGCCGCGCATAAATATCGGCACCAATGAGCGCAGAGGAGAGACAAGGAGAGTGGTGGAGAGTAGAGGAGTGGAGAGAACAGGAGACGACGCTGTTTTGATTGAGCCTTCGCCGTTTGCCGTTCTTGTTGAAGTTTTTCTGATGAGCTTAATGAGCTTAATGGAAGCGCGCGCGCATCGGCAACGTGCCTAACATGAAATAAACAAATTCATTTTGAGATTAAGAGTTTTCTGTTCGATTTTTGTTGATGTGATCTTATGCAATCGCCCGCACAGTGTTTGAATTATTTAATGGACCAAAACTTTTTTGGTAAACAAATACTTTCGATTTCCTTACTATCGACTTGATGATTGTCAATTTAAAAGCAATAAAATGCCAATTGACAGCATCATTTTAACAGTTTAAATTCTGTCGCTGGCAATTGCAAAACTCTTCAAAATAGTTGGAAACCCAACCAATGTGGTTAGCTGTGTAGAGACAGCGAAATGTAAACCGCATAAAAAACTGGCACACATTGACACACACATATGTATATACAATAATAGTCAAGATTAAGTTGCACATACAAAGGGCACGCTGCTGCAATGAATATATGTGCATATGTATGCAACCACTGTGCTGCAGCCAAGAAGCGATGTGCTTTTTTTTTTCTTCTACATTTTGCTTTTTAACCCATATCCCGTGCGGCGTCGACGCCAACGGCGTTGTCATTTGCTCGTCTAATGCGCGTCTGCCGCTAGCCAAAGCTCTCGCTCACGCGCTGCTCGGTCGCGCGTTGGCCGCGACGTTGTTGTTATTGCCCCTGCTCTCGCCTCTCTCTCTCTCTCTCTCTCTGTCCCACTGCTTTGTGCGTTCAAACTAAATTCTATTTGAATGCGCGCGTTTGTGTGTGCGTATGCGTGTGCGTGTGTGTGTGTGTTTTCATCTTTCACATTTGAAAGCACAGAAAATAGCAAACATGAAACATGTTGTTCAGTTTGCTTGTTGCTCTGCACGCGTGCGGTTCGCATTTGTCTTGTCGTTCTCTCACTCACACTCTCTCTATCTCTCCCTCTAAATTCTCCAAACGAAGCGAGCATATTCTGAAGAATCTACAAAAGGTAGAATATATTCGAAAATGCGGCTGCTATTTTAAACAGCTGTGCAAAGTTTGTGACATACGCGACGTATACGTATTTTACCAAAATGCACAGTGTACAACGTGTTTTGAACATTTTTCAAATATTATTTGGCATTCTTGCATGAAATTTGTCTGTGTTTCAAGGTGTGTGCGAATGCGCTTCAATTGTACCAAAACTCAAAGTACAAATTTCGAAAATTTTGAACGGAAAGCGTGAAAAATATATCACAAAAAGTAATTGTATTAGAAATGTTGCCGAAAAAAAAATATTAGAAAAGCAACATAAATATGTATTCACCAATATATTGAAAAAAATCAAAGATAAATGTATCAAAAATGGTTGCCAAAAAGATTTCCAATATTTATATAAAAAGTTAATGTGAAACAGAAAATCAAGAATCGAACATGTTTGATTTTAGCTCAAAAACGATTTGCTTTATTCTCAATGTGTTCAGCAGAATTTCTTTTTTTTTGTGCAGCATATTATAATTATTTTTATTTACAATTTTCGAAATTTTTTTTAACCCTTTGCCATATTGACATAGAATAATAGGTAAATGGCCGACCAGAAGATACCCTGTATGAAGTCTTAGTTCAAATTAAATATAAAAGCATTTGCAAGAAATAAATGAATATTTTATATTCATTATTTGAAGCGTATTTAAAAGTAATTAATGAGTAATGACTAATGAGTAATGAGCAATGAGTAATGAGTAATGAGCAATGAGTAATGAGTAATGAGTAATTAAGTTAAAATATTTAATTATATTTCATCTAATTTGATTAATCTCTGCAATTAAGACGTTTTTTTTGTGCTCTTAAGCTGATACAAAATATAAGCACACGAGGCCCTATTTCAACAGACCTTATGCCCAGCGTTTTACAGGGTATGCAAATGTGTTGCTTTTATTTTGAAACAAAAACACAAACCTGCTGTTTTGTATGCGAGCATACATACATATACATACATATATATATATATATATATATATATATATATATACATATATACATAGCACATCTATTGTGAATTCATGTTTATTTAACATATAATTAAATAAATAAATATGTATATGCTATGTACATATATAAATTGTCTTGATTTTTGGCACAATTTTGTCTAAGTGTGAGTCACCTGTGCGTGTGCGTGTGTGTGTGTGTGTGTGTGTGTGTTCTTGGTCGCGGCCGCGACAATGAAATGAGTTGAAATTGAAATTGAATTGAAATGCATTTGATAAACAATGAGAAAAGAAAGCGAGAGCATAAAATGAACGGCAGCCTCCTCTCCCCCTCTCCCCCTCTCCCCCTCTCCTCCTCTCCCCCTCTCCTGCGCTCCGTGTAAACAGAACATAAATTGTCTGCCTTGGTTTTAGTGTTTTTTTTTGGCCCATTTGCATTGCAGGTGTGTGCGCCAGGTATTTGTTCTTCTAGAGGGTATTCGAATTTTATAAGAAATGTATTTTTTTGTTCTTGCTTTGTTTTATTTTGCGCTGGAAGCGATCCGTAGGAGATTTATATTTTGAATTTTACTCTTAGTATGAAAACAAGTTAAATTCAATTTATATGAAAATTTGCAATACTAAAGTTAGCTTGACTTGATCTGAGAGATCGATTGAATTAAACCTCCGCAAACTCCAGCGCATTCGGACTCCTCCTCCTTATGTACTTTGCATTAACTAAGGGCAGCATGTATACTAACTAGTATGTTACTTATATAAATATGAAATGTCTTAGGCATAGAAAGATATCTTACATTTATCTGCCTGCTTCTGAAACTAATCCAAACAGTTCTCTCTCAGCCTTAAACCAAAATCTGATTAGTGTAAAGCATAGAAAGATACGCTTCCTAGCCATATATCTTCCATCTCAGTCTTAATCTTATCAACTTTGAGTATCATAAGGTTATATCATTATGATAAGATCTTTTTTTAAGGCATCTTGACTAAGCTCAGTAAGTTTGACCTTGACAAGATACTATGCTATGCTATAGGAACAATCAGACTAGGATGAAGATATTTCAATCTCCCTTTTCTTTTTGTCTCCTTCTAATAAGCAGTGTTTATTCTGCTTAGTAACTAACTATGTAAGCATTTAAATTAAGCTATCTTTAATAAAAAGATACTTTTTCTATCAAAACTCGATGCTCACGCTGATAAAAGCTGCTAAGCTTTAGTCGCAGCATATCAGCTTTCAATAAAAAAAGAATTTGAATCCCAAAGCAATAAAATTAGTAACTAACTAACTAGTCAGGGCTGGCAGCCAGCTGGCAGTTGCCAGTTGCCAGTTGGCGTGCAATCCGAGCGCATTTATCATGGCCATTTTTTGTCTATTATTATATTATTGTTAACTTGGCAAATGTTTCGGCCTTTGTGCATATTACAAATATATGTTACAAATATATATGACATATGCACATGCTTGTATGTTAACTGGTTTTTGTCGTCTTGGGCTGGCTGCCAGAGTCGAGCACATAATTGCCGAGCGCGGGCGTTGCCATAGACAAAAGTCGGGGCTTTCACATTTATGAAGTAATGCGCCCACAAATTATTTTCAATTTGTTTTATTTATAATTAATAGCAAGTTCTCAATGGCCTTCAAATGCAATTGCTGCAATTGCTTTTCCATGTGGGCAGCCTCCGCTGTGGGACGTGCCAATTTTGTTACAACAAATAAATAAAGTCCACAATATTGACAATTAAAATACAATCAAAATAATATAAAATAAAAGAAAATAAATATAAAATAAAAACGACAAAGAAAGGCTATCTTCGGCACGCCGAAGACTTAATACCCTTGCAGCCCCAACTTTTTCATAATTCTCATAGAGCTTTGCCCTTATCTAAGAAGCACAGGCAAAATAGTTAATGCTGAGTTTGGTCCAGATGATCTTGATAAACAAAAAAGGTGTTTAATCAAAAACCTAGTTTTTCGACCGATCGTTCCTATGGCAGATATATGATATAGTAGTCCGCTGTAAATATGATCTTGCAAAAATGAAGGAAGCATAGTCATCAAAATATTTTGAATAACAAAAAAGTTTTCCATACAAGAACTTAATTTTCGAACGATCGCTCCTATGGCAGCTATATGATATAGTGGTCCGATCTTAATAGGATTTTGCCTATATATGAGGAGTATAGTAAAACTAATAAATGCCTAGTTTGGTTCAGATATCTTGATAAACAAAAAAGTTTTTCATACAAGAACCTACATTACGGAAGATCATTTCAATGGCAGCTTATGAACTGAGAAACAGACCTTTGATGTCGGCTGTTGAAACTGATCAAGAATATATATACTTTATGGGATCGCATGTCACACATGTCACAACAAAATTATAATACCCTGTGCAAGGGTATCATAAAATTTCAATTCGTATTTCTAGATTATCTGATCAATTGCACAATTAAGGTTATCAAATTGTCAAATTGTCAAATTGTTGCGAATATTTAATTAGTTTATATATTATTTAACTTGCAATGCTTGGCACGCAAAGCGTATGGCATTTGATAGGCATCAATCGGCATCAATCACTATCAATCAGCTTGCCAGGCAGCCGTTGAACGCGGCGCCGCCCTTTGAGCTGCTTTATATGGCACATGGAAACCTATTTCGGTTCCAAGTCAATGAATCACGCCGCGTGCTAACAAAATAAATAAATAATTACACACACACGCACACACACACACACATGTTGTGATATGCATAAACATAGAGCTTGAATGATTTCCCGAGCATGTTTAGTTTACCTTTACGCTTGATCAATTTGGAAAAACAATTAAAAGTTTTGTTAAACTGCCAAAACGAGAACTCGAAAGAACGGAAGTTCCAGATACGAATATGGTCTGATATCATAGTTGATTTTGCATGCACACTCGCACACACAGTCGCACACACACTCCGGCTGGATGAGTTATGGCCACCTTTCAGGGAATTGATGTTGTCCGGCGACTGGCATATCAATTAGTAGAAAGCGCCGGGGCCCACGCCCAGACATTGTAGTGCTCGGGCCACGCCCACTTTGCAAGGCAGCTAATTAAATGAGAGTGAAAAGTGAAAAGTGGAAAAGCGTAGCAGCACAAACAAACAGTTTTTCCGGTCATTAACCGGCAAAGTGCAGCAGCGCCCAGAAAAATGGCCATTAAAGATGCCTCGGGGCAACATTGCATTCCGTTTCCTGGCCATAGTTCGAGCTCTTTAATTGCAACCATTTGATTTGTTTACATCAACAAAATAGAATAAGAAATTATTATTTATTGTTTTGCAGCCCAAAAACAATTTTATGCTGTGCTCTTTGGGGAATCTTGAGTGCAAAAACAAACAACAATGACGACAGCCAAATGGATTGGGGCTCGGATCTGGCACATCTTGCTGGGCAAGTACTTGTACTATTTTATGGTTCTTTGCATCATTTTATGTTTTAGTTTTTTGAGCAATATTTATGCAATATTTTCGCACATGGCCGGGCCACATAAACTTGAAATTAATGCGTTACACTAGCCACGCGGCCTTCGAGCCCGAAAAATAAGTGCACTAGAAACGCTTCGTCAATTTAGGCAGCATTTCTATATTTATAAAAAACGTATCCAAGTTCCACAAGCACAACATACATTACGTATATTTCCATTTAATCTGAGCAACTAATTCGGTACATATGAATATACGCCTATTAACAAGAGAATGAATTTCAAATAATTCCACTTAAAAAATCTTTAAAAGAATAACTGAAATTATCGCAAAACGAGAAGCAAATACACTTATTCATATTATGTCATATTAGTATTAGTATTAGTATTAGTATTAGTATTAGTATTAGTATTAGTATTAGTATTAGTATTAGTATTAGTATTAGTATTAGTATTAGTATTAGTATTAGTATTAGTATTAGTATTAGTATTAGTATTAGTATTAGTATTAGTATTAGTATTAGTATTAGTATTAGTATTAGTATAAGTATTAGTGTTAGTATTAGTATTAGTATAAGTATTAGTATTAGTATTAGTATTAGTATTAGTATAAAATCACAAACCTAGCTATTCGAACCCTCACTTATTTTAAAATTCAGCATTTATTTTATAGCAAATTATGTTGAGATTAAAAGGGCTTTCTTAACAACTAAAAAACAAGCAAATGAATTAAATAGATTTTACAATTTTATATGGACATTGCTAGCAATCCTTTTGGCGTCTATTGACCTCAACTACACATGTTCATGTGAATTCCAAACATGATGGCCAAGTTTTTATACCTCTTCAGCATGCGTTTAATAATAGAAATCGAGGCCCGAAATGTCTGTGGGAGGTGGCCATAAATCAATCCATTCTGCATAAGTATGCTATGGCAGAAGGAGAAGACTTCAGTTGCTTTTGACAAATCGCTTGGCCAACATTTTGGCAATGAAACAGCCGTCGTTCACTTGTCACAGCGGAAGTCTTGCCGTGGTAATTGTTGGGCCTGATGGGGCTGTTTTGGGGCTGTTGAGTTTCCATTGAAGCCCCCACACGCTGTGCAGTTGACATTACGCATACGCAGCGTGGCCGCCGCGTGACTCAGCCGGGCAGCAGCAGGTGGACGCAGCGCAGTTGAAATTGAAATTAATTTCAGTTTATACATTGCCGCGACATTTCACTTGGCCAAAAATAAACATTCGACTATTTGGCGAGCGTGGGAAACTGTGACGCACTTGTTGCTATTCTTGGCCAATTTATTGTTGCCTATTAAGAGATATGCGAAATATGCACAAACAAATGGCAACAATTATAATATTATTTATCAACATGCTCGTAACGTATTTAACACCATTTTTATACACCTGTTCAATAGTTTTGTGCGTTGCCGTTACCGCAGAGATGCCCGGCGGTTATCGTCGCGAGATTTGCCAGTACCGCAAGGGCAGACAGGTGCGTAATGGCCACCCACGGGGTTCTCCATCAATCCTAATGAGCTGTTGTTTATTGCAGATGCAGCCGACGAGCGCGTATCGCAGCCGCTTGCTGGCGATGCGAGAGCAGATGTTGATACGCGCCACGCTGGAGGGCCCGGAGATTTATGGCTATATACTGCCCTCCACGGATGAGCATCTGAATCAGGAGGTGGCGACACGCGATCAGCGTCTGCTCTATCTCAGCGGCTATACGGGCAATCGGGCCGTGGCGGCGGTTACGCAGGGCGGCGCCGCCATTTGGCTGGAGCATCGCTTTGTGCAGCAGGCGGATGGGGAGCTGGACTGCGATTGGCAGATTTATTTGGCGGGCGGCAATGTCAGCCTGGCCGACTGGCTGGCCGGCCAGCTGCACATGAACAAGCGCATCGGCGCCGATCCGCAGCTGGTGCCGCATCATCTATGGATCACCTGGGAGCGTCAGCTGGCCGATAAGTTTCTCAAGCTGATCAAGATCAACAGCAATCTGGTCGATATGATTTGGGATGCGGAACGACCCGAGCCACCCAAGGATCATGTCATACAAGTGCAAACGCTCGACTTTGCCGGCGAGAAGTGGGAGGACAAGGTGAACGAGCTGCGCCGGCGGCTGGCCCATCTGGGCTGCGATGCCATGATTGTCACCTCACTGACAGAGATCGCCTACTTACTTAACATTCGTGGCACGGATATACCCTACACGCCCGTCGTCAAGGTGGGCTCTCAACATCCGATCATCCGAGTACTTTATTTATGACCATGTGCTTCTCTTTAGTCCTTTGCCATTGTCAGCCAGGATGAGATTTTCTTCTATGTGGATCACGGCAAGATCAGCCTTGGCATCGATCTGCATCTGCGCACCGACTGCTACAACGAGAACTGCGTCAAGTAAGTGAAGCCCCCTTTTTTTTGAAGGTTAATAAATTGTTATAGAGTTCTTCTCAGTCTAAATGTGTCCTGCTTATACGGATTGATGTCTTTCAGTCCTGATCTCAACTGTTCTCCATGCAATCTAATGCCTTTCCATGGAAATTATTCCAAATGGTTTCCTACACAGAGTTTATTACTCGAAATGATAACGGAAGTAATGATAAATCTGTCACATTTGATTATAAGCTTAAGTTCGACTCTTACTCTTGTACGGCCTTGTTCAATAAACTCAGAACTGTTTTAATTTTTATCGAGCGATGGTCCAACGAGACAAGACACAATCCCTATTAATATCTCTAATCTCGGTATGTTGGAAGGGAGTTGGATGTTCAATCGGAATTCATCCGAACAAATAAAATGGACTTAAATAATCAGCAGCCATTATTTGCAAATATGAGAATCGCATAGAAAGGCGAGCTTTATAACAATGTACTCAAATCAATAAGAGCCCAAGTTAATTTACCTCCTTAAAATCAAATTTTAAAATAAAAAACATTTGATAAACCTTATTCCTTGCAGGATTAAGAAGTACAAGCAAATTTGGAGCGATATACGAACCTATGTGCAGGTCTGGAAGCGTGTACTGGTGCCGGGTCCCTGCGTCCAGGAGCCGGGTGCCTCGGAGGCCATTTACTCGGCCGTGCCCGCCAAGAATGTTGTGGAGCACATCTCGCCCATCATCTTTATGCGCGCCCAGAAGAACTCCGAGGAGCAGGAGGGCATGCGTATGGCCCATATACGCGATGGCGCCGCCATTTGCGAGACAATGAGCAATCTGGAGACCAGATTCTACACGGAACAATGGACCGAGGAGAAGATCAAGTACGAGCTGGAGCTGTGGCGTCTCTCCCAGATCCATGCCAAGGGCCTGTCGCTGCGCACCGTGGTTGCCTACGGCGAGCACTCGGCCCTGCCCTACTACATATCCAGCAATGTGACCAACATCGAGGTCTCCGATCAGAGTCTGCTGGTCATCGAATCGGGCGGCCAGTATCTGGAGGGCACCACCGACGTGTCGCGCACCTTCATCTTTGGCGAGCCCACGCGCGACATGAAGCGTGCCTATACGGCCGTGCTGGCGGGCATTCTGCACATTTCGGATCTGATATTTCCCGCCTCGGTGAAGCCATCCGGGCTGGACAGCGTGGTGCGCGCCAAGGTCTGGCACGAGATGACCGACTATCCGCAGGCAACCGGACACGGCATTGGCGCCTACGGCTCCGTCGAGGAGCGTAAGTGAAGAAAGAATGGATTTTAATCCCCCATAGATTTGATGGCTTATTGCTTTTCCTTGCAGCTCCCATCTCGGTGGCCTATGGCCAGAACAGCAGCTTCCACTTCAAGCAGGGCTACTTCTTCTCCAGCGGTAAGCAGCTGGAATACCCTCTCTTACCAGAACCTCTCTCTAATCAATCTCCCTGCTTCCTGCTCTAGAGTCCGGCTTCTATAAGCGCGACGATTACGGCGTACGCATCAAGAACGTGCTGGAGGTGCTCGACACGGGCAAGACAACGACCAGCGGCGAGCACTTTTTAGCATTCCAATCGGTCACCCTGGTGCCCTACGAGCCGAAACTGATCGATGGCTCCATGCTGAGCTCCGACGAGAAGCGCATGCTTAACAAATACAATGCCAAGATACGCAAACAAATTGGCGACGAGCTGAAGAGACTCGGCAACATGAAGGCCTTCTACTGGATGATGAACAAGACGCGACACATACGCGAATATCTGCCCGAGGATGAGTATCGTGCCGCAATGGGCGGCACCTGCCCTAGCCACGCCCATCTGCCATTGCTGGCCCTGACGCTGATAATCCTGTTGGCCTTCATCCAGGCCGAGTGGCGTCCATAGACGAGATCTAGATAAGTTCGTGTGTGCGTGTGCGTGTGTGTGTGTGTATGCGTGTGCGTGTTTGTGTGTAATTAGTTTTAGTTAGCAATGCAAATTAATCGAAGAGAGAATCTGGGACTAACAATTACACAAAAAATACCATTATTAACTGTTAGCATCTATGAAAGTTGCTCGGCTCGATCCTTGAATTCCATCCGCATCCTGTTGCTTAACTTAAACCAATGCGAATACGTAATTAAACTGTATAAAATTACTTAACTACAATTAAATTACCAAAAATATATCTGTTAATTTTCGTATATTAATATATAAACAATATTTATCTTAGTTAAGAGATAACGCTGTATATTTTTCTAAATGTGATTAAACGTAAAATTTATCGAAAGTCTACTGAAATGTATTTAAATCCTAGGGTATACACGCTATTATCCTATAGAGAGATGGGTCGAAATTTCCTACCCCAAAACTCAATCGATTTGCGAAAGGTTGGGCTTCATTTTTCTTCCGGTTTAACCTCTAGATCAATTTGGTATCTTAATCTGACAATATTATTCTTGGTCAAAATTCATGCAAATATCCCATATAGACAAAGGCAACAATATAGAAAATAGGGACATAGGTCAAAATTTCCCAACCCCATAACTTGGTCAAATCTTTTTCAATTTTTACGAGTTTTCGGTCTTTGTTCATAGTATGAGCTCTAGATTGATTTGGCTACATTATTCTTGGTCAAAATTCATGCGGAAATGATACCCTCAAATATCCTAAATAGGTCAAAATTTCCCAATCCCATACCTTGGTCAGACCTTATCCGATTTCCACGACGTTTTGTTTATTTATTTTATACGCTCCGCAGGCAACTGCCCGGGGTATTCCCGCTAGTGTACTATATATAAGAATATATATATATTTAGGTGATTTAGACTTGGACACGGGTTAGCTGATAGTCTTAAAATGGGAGATTTGCGAATGCCGCGATGCGTTAGCCACCTCGATTTGTCCACCTGCCCAGAGCTTGCGCTGTGGTTAGATGATTTTCGAGCTAATTTCACCACAGCCAATCGGGCTGATAAGCCGGGCCATAAGTGGGTCGGAAAGTTTGTAGAGCGTGCCGATTGTTCAGTTATTAACGTGATTCCGACTCGATACATTGTGCTCGAAAGAATTGCTGAAGTGATAAGATTTAATAACAACAACAACAAGGCATACACGAAAAGATGTCAATAGACTGAAAACAAAGAGAGAACATGTTGAGAATTATAAGCGTGTGCCTGATATTTGTACTCGTGCTGCCGCAATTAAATGCGAAAAAGGTGCGAATCGATGAGTTGACCAAGGGCTGGTCCCTGAAGGAGGCCAATTCCAGTGAGTATTCGACTTATGCCTGATGAGTAATAAGTAAATACAATTGATTTGCCTTATTGCCAAATATTGAAGTTTCGCACAGTTCCCGGCCTCCCCCAGGCATTCAGATAAGATAAGATAAAGTATCTGACGTCTGCTTCGATTTGTTGCTATCAGCCATTGTGGCAATTAATTGGTTGTAAATTTTTTTAACTGCAAGCTCCGTGATTTGACAATGTTTACCAATTCCGATTCCTTGCTTCACTTTTCAGCAATCCAATTTAGCGTGGCCAAAATACCATCCGGCGTCTATACGGCTCTCGCGGAGGAGCACGGAGATCTGCTGGACGCGGGCAACGATATCAACCTGCGCTGGATTGCCAACAGGACGTGGATCTACAGCACCGATTTTGAAATAGGTTTGCTCGGGTTACTCGACTGCCTTTTTGCCTCAACCTATAAAGATGCCCAACTATTTTCAGCTGACGAATTGGGTCTGGACAGCTTGGTGAATCTGACCTTCCATGGCATCGATACGATCGCCAAGATCTGGTTGAATGGCGAACTCTTGGGTGAGACCGACAACATGTTCGTCCGGTACTCCTATGCGGTCGGCCATTTGGTGCGCTTCAGTCCACTTAAGAATCAGCTCGAGGTGGAGATACTCTCGCCCCTGGAGGAGGCGAATGCGCGTGCCCAGCAGCTGGAGGCGAAGGGCAACAGCGCTCCGCCCAGCTGCCCCTCATCACGCGGCGATGTTGTCTGTCATCACAACATGTTGCGCAAGATGCAGATGAGCTTCGGCGGCGAATGGAATCCTGTGGCACTGTCATCCGGCCTCTGGAAGCCAGTTACCCTGGAATACTATACGGCCGCGATACTACGAGATGTAGACGTGGCCATCAATCGCAATGATACCCATTGGACAATGGACTGTCGTGCCTTTCTCAACACACCCGACTCGGAGAGTTTCTATGCGCAGCTTGTGGTCTATGCCAGGTGAGAAGTGATCGATGGATAGCCGGGCTAGTTAGCCTAGAGATCTTCCATGGATAGGATAGGATAGGGTAATTTCTAGGATCACCAGCAATCCGATGGAAGTATAATCTTATGGCCCGACAGCCGGACAACCTTAGCAAATCCAACCCCCTTCTGTTAATTCTCATATCATATATTCTCACATCAGCTAATGGATATTCCTCCTTACTTTAGCGAACTATTGGATGAGCCGTTTGTCGTGGAGCAAAAGCAGCTGAGCCATGCCTCAGCCACGCTGGAGTTTCAGGTGCACATACCCAAAGTACGTAGCCCACATGTCCTGCAGAGGCTTTAAGCTAATCATTCACAATGCTTAGGCGCGAGTCAAGCTCTGGTGGCCAAATGGATATGGGGCACAGCAGCTGTATCCCGTGCTCTTCAGCCTGAAGAGCTATCGCAACGAGACGGGGCCCGAGTTGAGCTCGCGCACGGATTCGCAGAAGCTGCTGCACATTGGCTTTCGCACCATCGAGCTGGTGGAGGACAAGGATGGTGGGGAGACCTTTAACCCTCTCTTCTCTCAAAGATCTTAACCCCCTTGTGCCATTTCAGAGCGTGGTCGAACCTTTTATTTCCGTGTCAACGGACATCCGATCTTCATGAAGGGCGCCAACTATGTGCCGGCTCACACCTTGCCCGAGTTGTCTGCGGATTCGGACACGAGTGAGTAGCTGCCTTCCTTAAAAATCCTTGATCCTAGCTAATCAATTGATTTCTTGACAGTTAAACATCTGTTGAAGTCCGCCCAGAGAGCCAACATGAATATGATTCGGGTCTGGGGCGGCGGGCTCTATGAGTCGGACACCTTCTACAGCCTGGCGGACTCTTATGGCCTGCTGGTGTGGCAGGACATGACCTTCACGAAGGCCACCTATCCCATTGATGAGGAGCGCATGGCCTCCATGCGTCTGGAGGCGGTGCAGAACGCCCAACGACTCGCCTATCATGCCAGCCTGGCCCTGATTGTGACCAACAACGAGATCGAGTTGTATCTGGTGAAGAATCGCACGGACTTTGGCACGGATGCCAAGCGCCTGGAGGACGAATATAAGCTGCTCTTTGTGGGCAATCTGTGTGCGGAGCTAAACATAATCTCTCGGAATGACTTTAGCCCGCGTCCAGGTCCCATGATTTCCACGCCCTCCCTGGGCATAACAGAGTCCGGCAAAGAGCTGGCCAAGGATCCACAGAGTCCGGACTTTGGCGACGGTGGGTAATATTTTCCTTAGTCTTTTTATATTGATATTTTTACTGTGCTGTCCGGCCTTAGTTCACATCTACGAGGACGAAAGGGACGCCCTCTCGCAGAGCAGCTACCCGCAGGCTCGTTTCATCTCCGAGTTCGGCTCTAGCAGTCTGCCCATGCGCTCCTCCTGGCTGCGTCTGCTGGGCACTGACACGAGCGAGGAGTCCCTGGCGGCACTTATACGCCAGCGCCAGCATAATTCCAAGGGCTTTATACCTCTATTACGGCAAATAGCCTACCAGCTGCCGTTTACGCTGCAGAACTGGGAGGACAACATCGACGAGTTCATCTACTTCAGCCAGGTATCGCAGGCCATGTCCACCAAAATGGCCATTGATTTGTTCCGGAGCCGGCGTGGATATTACCAGACCATGGGCGCACTCATCTGGCAGCTGAACGACGTGTGGGTGGCGCCCACCTGGTCCTGCATCGATTTCCATGGCAACTACAAGCTGGTCTACTACTGGGCCAGGGATTTCCTGGCGCCCATCAATATCATTGCGCTCTACAACGAATCCAACGATCAGCTCAATATAACTGTCACGCGCGAGGACTATATGGAAACTGCCGATATGCAGCTCTATAACATATTCATCAAAACGTTTCTATGGAATGATATCTTCTCCAAGAAAGTCATCGCGAGAGCCATTGGCCTGGTAGGATTAACCATCCAGCTATCTATATATCTAGAGTAATATCTTGAGCTATAATTTCCAGCGCGAAAGTTCCATAGACCAGCTGAACATACCCCTGGACTCCGTCTTGTACGAGGCGCATGCCAAGCAGGAAATCTTTCTGGAAATTCTTCTAAAGGATCAAGATGATCAGGTTGTTGCACAAAACTATTTCTATCCCGTGCCCATTAAGCACATTGTTGGCATGAAGGATCCCGAACTCAGGGTAAGTGTTCCACTTGTCGAATAGCTGTTCCCCAATTAAAGGGTATTCCCCTTGAAATTAGCTCGAGGTGGTGGGCATCGACTGCAGCACCACATCCTCGCCCTATGCCAATAGCTTCAGTGTCCGGATTACGATTAAGTATCCCGCTCTGTTTGTCTACTTGGAGCTGACGGATCCGGAGTATGCCAATCAAAGGCACACCTTCTCCATGAATGGCTTCACCCAGACTGTGCCGCGGCAAAATGTCTACTTGGAGTTCGAAAACGATTCGACTTGCCTCAAACTCACATCCGAGCATATCGGCGTAAAGACCATGAATCAGTATATGCTTTGAGTTAATAAATGACAAAATACATATATATTTAATCACGCACATCTGTATATTGCAATAAACAGGGTATTACTTGGGTTGTATCAAAAATACCATATAAATTGAATGCAGACCCGAGAATCTCACAAAGTCTAAATTTACCCCACAACAAGTTGCTTAACTCTTGTGCTATAGATAGAGTTCATGCTCATTATGAAATTATGTTTTTACGAGATTTGTAAATGTTATTTGAAAAGTATTTTGCCTAGAAAACGAGCGAACGTGTCGCCTGGAAGATACATTTACGATAGTAGCAAGCATTTTATGGCCCTGGCTAAAAACCGATATTTATAATTATAATTATAATTTTCCTCTATATCTTTTCTACATACTAACTTTCTAATGGTGAAGATAAGAAACATTTAAAAATAATTACAAATAACTGTGATAAGAATGTGCGTTAAATAATTTCAGACCTAGTCCGCAACGCGGACTTTTACTTATCAATGATATTTATTTATGATGAATATTATTGGCATAATTTAAAAAGTAAAATTAAAAAAAATCTGCTTACCTAATCCAGGTTTTCTCTGTATATTTGTCAAACCATGGACTTTATTCAGGAGGAGGAAATGGGAGAAACAAGTGGGAAGAGCACGTCGAAGATTGTATACCCTTTAGCTTTTGGAAAATAGAATATTTTTACATGCTAAAACTTAATTTTCGGCCAATTGTTCCTATAGTGCTATATAGTATATACATATATGGTAGTGCGATATTGATATGATTTGATTCATCAGTGAAGCTAAAGATATCTTGATAAACAAATAAGTTTTCCATACAATATTTTCATTTTCGATCGATTGTTCCCATATGATAGTCTTAGTCCGATCCATCTATATGAACAAATCATTTGAGACGTGGCAAGTGCGATTCCCGACTTGCTTTAACTTATTGTCAAAGCTACATAAGAACTTAATGAATATCTGTTTTAGCGTTTTGGTCAATTTCACCCGCAACAGTGGAAAATTGGCGGAACACGTTTGCATGAAAGTTTTTTGTTTACCGTTCGATAAGCCTAAAACTCATTTTCAATAATCTTTGCGGGAATTTATTCGATACGAGCCACGGGCAAGGTCGGGCAATGCCCGCCTGCAATAAATAAACGTACGTACGCAAAATTTTGTTAGCTAGTGTTATCAGCACACACCATCTCCCTCTCTCTCTCTCTCTCCTACTCTCTCTCTCTCTGTGTCATGCTCTCTCTGACTGTTTACGCTCTGAGCAGAAGCCGATCTCTCGCAAATGCCGGCCGTCCAAGTCGGTTATCATCAGTCCATTAGCGGCCCTTCCCGGTGGCAGACGCATCAATTTTTGCACCTCGGAACGCAACGAAGAGTACGGAAAAGGGGGGCTCGCGCGGGCACGGATTTTGGTGTGTAGCGTGTTTGTGTTTTACTATGTATAATTATTATTTTTATTTGTTTGTTGACGGCCCGAAGAAGTTCGACTAAATAATTTGCAGCAATTTTTGCGCAAAAAAAAAAAAAAAAAAAATGAATAATAAATTTTATGGCCGTTTGCTGGGACTCGGACTGCTGCTGGGCGTGCTTGCGGTGGGCCGGGTGGAGGGCGATGCCGTCGAAGTAATTGAGCTGGGCAGCAATTGGAGTTTATCTAATCAGAATAGCTGTAAGTATTCGCAAAACATTTGGGCAAAAGACGACCACAAGCTTGAAGATTGTCGCTTATCGCAGCGTTTTTTGCTCGCCTGTCAGTTGCATTATCGGCTCAGGTGAAACACCTGAATTAACCTGTCTAAAGTGTGCCAAAAATTCGTGTTGCAGCCTTTACGCGATTGCTTAATCTGACGCTGCCCTCGGGCATATACAGCGCCTTTCCCGGCCAATTGCCCAATGTGCTGGAGTCCTACAACGATGTGAATCTCCGCTGGATGGCCTACGACAATTGGACGTACATCAATGAGTTCAAGTGTGAGTGCAGCTTCCCTTGGAATCCTTCATAGTCTATAGTCGAAATTCGTACAGTTGATGTGGAGCACTATAAGCGCGTGCGCAGCTTCAATCTGACGTTCCATGGCGTCGACACCGTGGCCGAGATCCGGCTGAATCGCCAGCTACTGGGACGCACGGACAACATGTTTGTGCGCTATTCGTACGATGTGACTAGGCTGCTGGAGCAGGAGAATGTGCTCGAGGTGGAGATCACATCGCCCGTATGGGCAGCACTGGCCAGGGCCAGGGCGTTGAGCGCGGCGGATCGCAGCGTGCCGCCGGACTGTCCGCCGGAGCGCTATCATGGCGAATGCCATGTGAACATGCTGCGCAAGATGCAGGCCAGCTTCGCCTGGGACTGGGGACCGGCGGTGCCGTCGATGGGTCTGTGGAAGAGCGTCCAGCTGGAGATGTGCGAGGTGGCTTTACTCCGTGATGTTGATGTGGACATCAGCCGCAATGAGACGCACTGGAACATGCACATCAGCTGCTACATGGACGCCCTGGGCAAAGAGAACTTCAATGCCCAGCTAGTCTTCTATGCCGTGTAAGTAGACCTTGACATGATCACACACATGATCTCTGATCCCAATGTGCTTGCAGCGAGCTACTCAATCAGACGGTGGTCATCTCGCAGCCCGTGAGCTACTTGTCGCCGGTAATTGTCTTTGATCAGGCTGTGCCAATTGTGAGTAACGTCCGCTAATTGAGCTGATTGGCAACGATGTCAAGTGCACGCCTTGTTTTCCAGGCGGACGTCGTGCCCTGGTGGCCCAATGGCTATGGCCAGCAGAAGCTCTATCCGCTGCACTTTACCCTTAACGCCTGGCTGGGCGCCTCCGGACCGGAGCTGCGGGCCAAGACCAAATCGCAGAAGTCGCTGCGCGTTGGCTTTCGCACATTGGAGCTGGTGGAGCGTCCAGCTCCGGATGGCAGAGGCAACACTTTTCTCTTTCGCGTCAACGGACTGGAGATCTTCATAAAGGGCAGCAATTATATACCATCCCACATATTGCCAGAGAATCAGACCTCCGAAAGTGGTGAGTATGACAGTCGAGTTTGCTTTTTATACCCTTCCAGACGGTATCATAATTTTGTCGTGAAATGTGTAACGCATAGAAGAAGACATCTCAGAACCCATAAAGTATATATATTCTTGATCAGATTCAATAGCCGAGTCGGACTACTATATCATATGTAGGTTCTAGTAGGTTTTTGTATGAAAAACTTTTTTGTTTATTAAGATATCTTGGCCAAACCTGGCATTTATAAGTTTCACTATGCTTTTTATATATATGCAAAATCCTAACAATATCGGACAACTATATCATGTAGCTGCCATAGGAACGATCGGTCGAAAATTAAGTTGTTGCATGGCAAACTTTTTTGTTTTTCAAGATATCTTGACCAAACTCGCCATTTTTAAGTTTCACTATATTCCCTACATTTATGCAGAATCTTATATACATCCGACAACTATATCATATAGGTTCCATAGGAACGATCGGTCTTAAACGAAGTTGTTTGAACAACTTTTTGTTTTTCAAAATATCGTAACCATGCTCGGCATTAACTATTTTCCCTGTGCTTCTTAGATACGGGCAAAGCACTATAAGCATTATGAACAGATTGGGTCTGCAAGGGTATTAAATCTTCGGCGTGCCGAAAATGGCGCTTCTTTCTCTTTGTTCTTATGACAACACAATTCAGATTCGAGGTCTGACAAATGCAAGCTCAGCAATTTAAGTTTGACTGTAAATATGTGAGATAGATTATAGCTGATCGATTCGCTTTAATTGATCAATTAGTCCATCAGTCAGTCAGTCAGTCAGTTAGTCAGTCAATCAGTCAGTTAGTTTTTTGTATATGGAGATATTGTTTACATATTTGCAGTTGGATATCTGTTGGAATCTGCGAAGGAGGCGCATATGAATATGATACGCGTATGGGGTGGAGGTGTTTATGAATCGGACTTCTTCTACGATAAGGCCGACAGCCTGGGCATACTTATTTGGCAGGATATGATGTTCGCCTGCGCCATGTACCCGACGACACCCGAGTTTCTCGCCTCGGTGGGCGAGGAGGTGCGACAGAACGCGAAGCGACTGTCGCATCACGCAAGTATTGCCATCTTTGCGGCCAACAACGAGAATGAGGCAGCTCTCGTTCAGAATTGGTATCATACGTTGGCGGACTTGGATCGATTCAAGGCCGAATACCGGGAGCTGTACCTGGGCCATGTTGTACACGAGCTGAAGCTTGTGTCGCACAGCGGGCGACCCGAGCCGCTGGTGTCCTCGCCATCGAATGGCAAGGCGAGCGAGAAGGACAACTACATCTCGGAGAATCCGCAGGACGAGCACAATGGCGACGGTAAAAGCAACCGAATACTTAATCAACTAATCCGTTACATCTTCCTCTTGCAGTGCACTTCTACGACTACTTCAAGGATGCCTGGGATCCGAATACCTATCCGCGTCCGCGCTTCGCCAGCGAGTACGGCATCCAATCCCTGCCCGGCGCTTTCGCCTGGGAGCGCAGCAAAGGAGTTGGCGTCGATCTGACCGAACTGATGGGCCATCGGCAGCATCATCCGCTGGCCATGGTGCCCATCACGACGCAGGTGTTCCAGCACCTGCCGCTGCCGCTGCCAGAGGACAAGGACTACAACCAGGCACTGATCTACTTCAGTCAAATCTCCCATGCCATGGCCACCAAGGTGGAGACGGAGCTGTATCGCAGCCTGCGGGACACGGTCCACAATACCATGGGCGCACTCTACTGGCAGCTAAACGATGTCTGGGTGGCGCCCTCCTGGTCCGGCATCGATTTCTATGGCAACTGGAAGGTGGGTCTCAGCTGAAGTCAATTTAATGCATGCTAATCCTGTTCTCCGTTCCTGCAGCTGCTGCATTATTGGGCACGCGACTTCCTGTCTCCGATTGCTATCGTGGCGCTCTTCGATAAGCCCACGGGCTTGCTCGAGATATCGCTGGTGTGTGACGAGCCGCGAGTGGATACGTCTCACTTGACCGTCGTTGGCAACATTCATCTGTGGTCGCAGCTGATGCCGCGCCAGTCCAGAAACTGGACCGCCACGCTGCGTCCCAACGGCGTGCAGTACGACAAAGTTATTCCCATCAAGGATTGGCTGCAGGGCGAATTCAATGAGCACAATGCCTACTTTGAGTTCCAGCTGCGTCGCGATCAGAACTTAATTTCCCGCACCTATTTCTTTCCCAGCAGCATTGCCAGTGCTGTGGGCATCGCCGATCCGGAGCTAGAGGTAAGTGAACCCCGTCTCACTTCAGCTAACATCAGCTACACTTAAGCTTATGATACTATTGGAGAGGGTATTTTAGTTTTGTCACAGAAGGGCACATCTTCGATCCCAAAAGGTATATTTATCCTAGATCAGTATCAACAGACAGATTGATTTGACCATCTCCATCTATTCCACCTGTCCGTCCGTTTGCCTCTACGTCTATTATGTTGTTCTGTACAGAAGGAGGAGGAGAAGGAAGCTTGAATGTTCCAAGTTGTTTTTCAATAATGAAAATATCTTTGAATCTTGCCCAGTTCGACATCTCATCGAAGACCTGCGTGGACACCACGAGCGGCAAACGGAACAGCATCAGCATCACGATCACCGTGAAGCGTCCGGCTGTGTTTGTCTACCTGGAGCTGCAGATGGCCTATCGGTACAAGCTCTCCGAGAATGGTTTTATGCAGACGACGCCCGTGCATGTGGTGCATGCGACCATCGAGTCGAGTTCCTGCATTCGCATATGGCGCAAGGCGAACGTTAAGATCTGGACCGTGAATCAGTTCATGCTCCAGGCTTAGGGGATATATATATTTAATTTTAATGCAACATATATAAATAACTTAACAAATAAACAAATCAATAAATGTAATGGAAATATTTAAATACACATATGTGAAGTAGGAAGGCGGCCTGGCAAGGAGCCGGTAGGAGCAGGCATAGCCTATCTGTCGAAGCTGGGCATCTGGACGCGCGGCGGCGTGTAGCCCTCGGGATATGGCACCAGCTGGTTGTTGAGGACGCGCGCATTGCGCCAGGTCTTCACCCGGTCCTCGGCCGTGTCCGGCACGCGTACACCCTCGATCAGTGTCACCGCCGGCCCATCCACAACGCTGTGCGTGCTCTGGCCAATGGGATTGCGATGCGGACTGCCCGGCGCTGGTGTCCGGCGCGTGGGCGTGGCCACGCCCGCACTGGCCGTAACCACCACGGAATGCGGCATGTAGCTGACGTACTTGGATTTCTGCGGCAGGGAGTTGTAGTTGTGCTTGGTGATCAGATTCTGTGGCGGACGCGAGCCACGCCCACCGCCATTGCCCGAATACGCGCGTGCATCGCGGCTGTAATAATCCGTCTGCTCGGAGCCGGCGTACTGCTGATCGCTGGGAAAGCTGATGGCCTGGCGCAGCACACGCGGCTGTGCCTCGACGGGATCAGCATAGGTATACGGCTGCCACTGGCGCTCCATGGCCAGCGAGTAGTTGTTGTTGTTGTTGTTGTTGTTCCGTGCCGTCGGCTGCGCCTGGAAGTAGACCGGCTGCCAGGCGGGGCCGCTGCCCAGCTGGCGTCCGGTGCGCAGTGCCTGCTGCTCCAACGCCTTGCTCTGCGCCTTGGCCAGCTGCAGCTGTATGAATCTGGCCTGGCGTTGCTCCGCCTCCGCCTTGCGCTGACGATAATCCTGCTGCTGCTGGGCCAGTTCGCTCTGCTTGAGCAGCGCCGGCGTATGCTCGAAGATCAGCTGCCGGGCAGCCGGATTGGCATTGCTTCTGGCCTGGCCGGAAGCTGGCCGCTTAACATCGGAGCTGCGCACAAAGAACGATCCCGCGGCCTCCTCGGCACGCGCCTTGCGACTATTCCTGCCCACCAGAATCTCCACATTCTCGCCTTGGCTGGACTTGACGTTCACCACACGCACCTTCGACGGATCCAGATTGCGTCCGAAGCGCAGCTCGGTGCGCAGCAGCGAGGGCTTGCCCGTCGCCTGCCCATTCTCATTGCCGTTGCCCTCGGCCACGCCCATCAGGAGTGCAGCATAGATTATCAAAGACGCCGCAGTCATCCTTGAAGCCGTCGCTGTCGCCATCTCTTGGTGCGTCTGCTGTGAAATTGACGCAAAATTGATGCCAAATTAGTGAGAGTTAATTATATAGAAATTTATGTGTGGAATGGGAAGGTTGAGCAAGTGCAGCCAGTCATAAGTTTCGCAATTCTTCAACAACTTTTGTTGCTATTATAATAATTTTATTGTCAGCGAGTTCAACCAAGAGCTGTAAATTAACTCTGTGCTGACTATACTGTACTAAACATACTCAGATGGGGACTTGGATATATAGAGTAATACTAAAATATCAAGACTATTTATGTGGAGTTATTCCTAAACTCTTCTGTGCATAGTATAATAATAATATAATAATAATTGATTAATAAGCCAAAACGTGTAAAGTTTACACAATAATTATGATAACATGCGGTTGAGACAACTTTCTACTTAAGAAAAAACAAATTTTTAATTTCAAAAAAAGATAAATTATAATAAAATCGTTTGAAGTCGATTATTTCTTTTGTAATACATTCAAAGGGCGTTTTCCGATTCGATTAGTTTCGTGAGAAAAAACATTATAAAGTTTTCGACTTAATTTGTTAATTAAATAAAACAATAAATCATCAGTTTAAGTTTGTTTTAGTACAAGAGAATCTGCTTGGGAAAAGCCTCTATTAAATTTGTGAACTTAGTGCCAAGCAGATCAAAAGGTCTCAATCAAAAAATATTCCCGAGATTTTTGAATAGATAGATCAACTATTTAAGATAAATAATTTTGTCTCAAAATATGCACAGAATTCAAGAAGAGATCTGTGAGCCCATAAAGTGCATACGTATTATATAGTCCGAGTACATGTCCAAGTCGGCAGACTGCATAATATATACATGATCCAATATATAATGCATCCAACGTAGGGTTAAAAAGAATTTTCTAAATATTAAACACATTTGGTTTTCACAATATTCGCACATAACTCAGCTAAGACAAGCCTGAGAATATACATTATATAATAGATACAAAATATATATAGACAAAATATATATATAGACAAATAAATATATGTATACGTATATACAAAATCTTATCAACGACAGTCTACTATATCATATAGCTGACATGTGAACAATCAAGCGGAAAATTACTTTTTGAATGAAAACATCAATGTATTGCTAATGTATTTGTTTGGCTAATGCATTAATACCACAAGCCTAGTCAGTGCTGAAAGATGATACAATCTTCACTTTTCCGAAGGTTTCCCATTCCAATCAATTTGTTTTTAAATATTTTTGCGCATATTAATCATTTATCATAGCCATTGAAAACGAAAGAGAAAGGGTATATGTAGTATGCTTTTAGGACTTAATAAATTTGAAGATGCAACAAATTAGGAATTTTTTTCATATTTTATAAGCAATAGTTTTTTTCCCCATAAAATGGGCCGAAGGGCAGAAGAAGCTGATTGCAGGGCATCTTCTAGTCGGGCACACTCAACTAGCGCACTTTTACTTGTCCTTGTTAGACTTTAGGCGGATCTTGTGGCGGCTTTTCTTGTGTTTTCACACCGGTTAATTAGCCCGGCCGACTCGTGTTGTTGTACTTTTTAACACCTCGTTGGATTTTGGCTCATTATTGCCGGCCGTGTTGCTCTTAATTTAATTATTGACAGCCAGCCAAGCAGCCAACCAGACTGAGTGCATCTTCGTACTATTTTTTATTGCACTTACTGTGTGCGTGTGTGTGTGTGTGTGTGTGCTGGGCTCAGAAAGCGAAACAGCGATTAAAAAACTGCAATGCTTAACTTTCGTTTGTGGCATGAGGAAATCGTCGGTTGCCAGTTGCTGGTTGCCGCTTGCCGCTTGCATTTAGCCAGCATTCAGCGACAATTCCGGACAGTTTGCAAATGCCACGCCCCATTCGTGATTGTCAAACGTTGACACTGAAGCTGATCTGCAGCGCTTGAGCAGCTGATATCGCCAAAGCCAGGCCCTGGAGTCGCGCGAAACTCAGTGTCTCGGAGCACTTTATGCCTCAGTGGAGGCCAGGCTGCTTTTGCACCTGGAGCAATCTTTAGCTAAACGTTGCACAAGCTTTTAGCTTGCCTTCGCACACACGCTTATCTAAAGCAGGAAGTGCGCCCCCTTCTTGAAGTGCATATCAATTATGTTAAAAAGGCTCGCAAGTCGACTTCTCTCTTTGAAGAAATATACAATAATAATCAAGGTAAAACAATTAAGAATATTATCTATGCATACAGAATAAGATTGGGTACAGTTTATTGACCCGATATCTAATTAAAACAACAATTATCTATACAAACGACAGTAAACACAAAGTAGTCACAAAATATTTGTTAAATTGTCACAAACAAATATTTAATCTACGTTTATTTCAAAGATAACGTTCTTTATTGAACAATATTAATTATGTGCGGTTCAGAACTCAGCTTGATCGATAATAATTGCCCATGTTTATGTAACATTTACGATATAGTTAACATTTACGATATAAATAACATTTATGTAAATAACATTTAATTTACATGTAAAGGGTATGCAAATTTCTCAATTTTATACATTTGCACATGAAATTTGCTGAAAAATTAAATAAAAATAAATAAATATGAATAAAAATATAATATTTACTTTTAACATAAGCAAATCCTTTAATCAGGAGTTTGCACTAAAGGTTTAATAACAAATCGGCAAACAGATAGATAGAGACTGGAGGATCTATATCTAACTATAACGACTGATCAAGCCTATACATATATCATATATAATATATAATAAATTCGTATAACTTTAATATCAATATAACACCCATAAATTACTCTTCTATCCGAAATTTTAACGAGCCTCTGCTCTGCTCTGATCTGATTAATGTTGACTCGCAATCACGCCTTGCGGGCGTTACCGCCAATCAATGTGATAGGTGGCTACGGCAAAGATTGATGGCCGAGTCGCAGGACCATTTACCGCAATTTGCGTCTGATCAATTGAAGTTTGGCCTATTGATTGGCTGCATAATTGGGCTGAATGAACTGCGATATTACGCATACGCCGCGTACTGCTGCCAACAAGACGCTAATGAGTGAAAATCTACCGACAAAACGAGCAAAACAATTAAGCGAATTGTGAATTGTGAATTGTAAATTGTGAATTGTAAATTGTGAATTGCAATTTCAATAAATGCGCACGGCAAAGTTCACGGCACGACCACGACTCGGCCAATCTGGGTAACCGCCACATTGGTGCTGGCCCAACTCGTGGCCCAAACTCTCTGCGACTCGCCGACTTGCCGACTTTCACTTTCAACTCAAGCTCGGCGGCGGCGACGCGGCTGAGTGCACCGCGCTGCCAGCTGAACTTTTTGTTGTTATGAAATCGTCGCAATCATCGCGCGCTCACACTGTAACAACAACAACAACAAAAACACGTTTTACTTTTTGCACAACAACAACAATAGAAGAAAAACCAAACAGAAAAATAATAATAAAAAAAGAAGAAGTCAACGCTTGCTATTGAGCGCTTGGTCTCTTTTTCTTTAAGCCTTTCTTAAGTGTTGGCCAGCGTTTTTAGGCCGCTGGCCGCTAACAGCTGCGTCGACGCCAGCAGCGACGCCAGCGATCTCGGCTTCAATGTCACGGCGCAGTCGCGGCCGACAGCGACAGCGACAGCGACGTCGACGTCAACTGTTGTTTCGCTTTTTAAAGCGTTGCCGTTGCGTCTTCGTAGCGTCATTTTTTTCTTTTTCGGCCACTTTTGTTCAATGAAAATTACATCATTTCAAGTTTTGGAGCGAAGCGAGACAGGAAATGCGACTGAAGCAATTTATTAGCGGCTGGTCAGCGTCAAAATCGGTGTCATAGCCCTGCGGGTTTTACTACGAAGTACCGATGTTGAAATGCAAACTGCAATTATTATTATGTATGTGCAATTTGTTTAAGTTGTAAATTTGTCTGTTGGCGCTTTGTGGGTTTTTTCTTACTGCTCTCCGAACTAACATGACTAACGTGTCGGCTGGGTTTAGCTCTGCTACTGCTCAAATAGATACAAAAAATGGGCTGCAACTACAAACGTTTATCATTTACATGCTAGAGACATCGAGCCGCGACAGGCGGCGCACATTTAATGATGGGCTTTCTCACACTCAAGGCGTGCCGTTTGCCATTAATTGGGTATTACGTTTATCGCAACAAGCAATTGAGCGCAATTGCGGGCAAACAAAATCACCGGCGACTTGTTCATTGACTCTTGTCAGCTTCTAGCGTTTCGGGCGAAAAGAAACTCTCACTTTTCTTGCAACAGCAGCTCTTCTAGGGTCGCGCGTCCGCTTGTCAGTTTGTCAATCAAACAAACGCTGGCAACGCTGCGCGCATTTTCAATTGATCTGGCAACAATGGCTGCATTCAAATTACGCATACGCCCTCACACACATAGGCAGCAGCGACTTCCTCGTCTCCTTTGTCGCTTCATTCGCATTCGCTGCATTCGCTGCAACTAATGCAGAGTTGCCTGCCCGATCTCATTGGAGGTGGAGCCAAAAATCGAACTACCGTTGCTTATTGTTATCAGCGATTGTTGTAATGTTTCTATGCTGTTGTTGTTGTTGTTATGTGCAAAATGCAAATGTGCTCGTGCGGTTAATGTAATTTATTGTTGTTGTTGTTGTTGTTGCTGATGTTTGCCGGCGTTGTATTAATTTCACTTTTACTTTTTATGATTAACATTTCCCACCCAAAAGTGAGAAACCTTACATGATTTTTTTTTTTATTTTTCTTTTTTGGTATGTTTTTTCACTTAAACATATTTGTACTTTTTGTTGTTAGTGCGGCTTTGAAATGTGAAATTTGAAAGATCGTAAAGTTTAAAGATGCTGTAGCCCTTGCTGGTCTCTTGACTGGCCTTTTCTTAAAATTAATGCTTTTTACTTATGTCTGTGGTTTTTTTGTTTTTTTTTTTTGCCAACATCTTTAATTACACGTGCTTGTTACTCAGCACTGGCAGGCACTTTCCGGCTTAGCACAAGCTTGGTGTATCCGCATCTGGATTTTTGCGCCCAAGTGTCGCAACTGAAAGTGAAACTTTTTACTTTCGGACATATTTGATGTCTGCCAAGCTAAAGTACCGTGGGCTTGATGGATAAGAGCTCGACATCGAAAATATCTATCTACAAGCCTTTTGAGCTACTGCCTCATGCCATTATCCCACGCACAAATGTCTTGGGCTCTCAAAACCCTTTTAAATCAAAAGCCATCAATGTCATGGAAAATATCTTATAACAAAACTTTGCTTAATACTTTTTCAATAGCTCAGAGATTATGTTTTGACAGCCAGCTACTTTAAGGCTCTCAGTTCTGGCAATTAATCTCAGATTTGAAGACGCTTTTAATGTTCTTTTTAGTATATAAATTATTTAAAAAAAAGAAAACAATTTTAAATATTACCAAGCCTCTCATTAAATAAAGTGGGCTAAGTCCCATCAAAAAGCAACAACAACTCACTTTATAATTTTGATGCTCGAATTGAAATCTGGTCTGTTAACTAGTCCAATATATGCGGCTCCTTAACAGACAGCAACAAGCGGCTTTTAAATTGTATCTTTTGCTCGACGAACACGAACAGACGAAATGTGCAACAGATCGCAACGCGAACCGAAATACAACTGAACGCAAATGAAAAACTTTTGCTAACAAGTAAAAAAGCATCGAGCTGGAAAACGGCAGCAAAAAAAAAAGTAAAAATATTATGCACACATACATACATGCATGCGTGCACATGTCTGTAACTATATGTATATGTGTTTGGAGGCCGACACCAACAAAGACGCCGCAGCAGCAGCAGCAGCAGCGAAGGCAACGTCGCTGTTGGCAACGGTAACATACACGCACACAAACGCACACACACACACAAACTTAGCTGGCTGCGACGTCGGCAGCGGCAACAGCTGGCCAAAGAGACTGAGTCGCAGACAAGGGACTCAGACGGCGCTTGCACACAAACAAGAGCTGAGCAGCAAATGTGTGGGTAAGCCAGCGGGGCAAGGGGTAGTCGAGCAAGACATGCCAAAAAAAAAAAAAAAAAAAACAAACAGCAACAACAACAATGCGGCCAAAATCGGCGAACAATTGCGCAATTGCAAGAGCAGCCACAACAAAGACACAAAAAGCGAGAAGAGCGAATGCAGAGATCAAAATTTTACACACAATAATTCATTTCGTTTCTTCTTCTTCTTTTGTCTTGCCCGATGATCACAAGTCAGCGACGTTTGTCTCGCATCAGCGAGAGTGCAGCTGATTTGGTGATTGGTTAACGGTGATTTATCTGCGATTATTTATGTACATATGTATATCATGTGCGATTCACATTGGCATCAATTTTTGCCATGTGTACATGCATCAAAAAGTGTGTACATATCTGTGCTAGCATGTGACTTATGAGAGACAAAAGTGTTGCCATATTTTCAAAATATATTCAAAAATTATAGACCTAGTTAGAGGGGTTGCCTGCGGGACTGCGGGCTTGAGATCTAGCTGCCAGTGTTATTTCTTGGATATCCGAATATTAGATTCAAGGAAACAGAAACTTTTTACTCTATTTTCTATTTCATTTCGGTAAAAAAAAAACAACTTGATTAATCCTCGACTTAAGCATTAATTGTTATTAGTTGAGCGTTAGAGGAGTGACAAATTGCCGTTTGATAATAAAGCGTCATCGACGGGATCCGCCCCAGCCCACAATTCCTTCCCTCCGTCCCGCTCGGCTTGTCGCCTTCAGATGCATGCCGTCTGATAGGAAGCAGAAAATAATAATAAAAATAAAATAATAATTGCCATGTGCCGCGATGGTTAACGAAAGTGGCCAGAAGTAGGTGTGTTCCAATGAGCTGTGTTGTGCCTTGTTTAAGATGCTGAGATACAGATACATACATACAAAGCAGCCGCATCTTTCACACACACACACACACACACACACACACACACACACACGCTCACTTGGCCCAACTTTTTATTAGCAATTTTCGCAATTTTCATAGCGCTTTTTTGTTGGTGCGGCTTTTGAATAAATAGCTTTTTTTTTTAATTAACAAAATTTCACTTTTTTTTTGTTGCTTAGATTTGATATTAAACAGAATGAGCAGAGGCTGAATGTAGTTAAATGTAGTTTGTATCTTAGGCAGCATTGATTTCCAGCTTGTCATTGGTCTCCTGGTCTAATCTCAGCTGCATTGTGTCCATGCCCCAATCTCGTTCGGGCACAACTGCCACGCCCATGAAGCTCAGTTGGAGGCAATTCAATTTGTACTCGAACAGCGGCTGGAAGGCAATCTTGAATACCAGGGAAATGCATACGTATAGGCTGCGCTCGATGATGTGTATGTTGTAGAGCCGCAGGCAGGCGGACACAAAAATGGGCACCGCCAGCGGCGAACAGATGTCCGGCAGATTGCGCGGCGATATGCCGAAATTGGCCACGGAGCGATGATTCAGCTCCACGGCGAAATCCACGCTCAAGTCCCGCCGGCTGCACTTGACCAAAACGCAGAGGCCGTCTCGCATCATGCCAAAGCCCAGACCCAGACAACATTTGCAGGCGAAATCCTGGCAGGAGCAGGGCATGCCCATGGTTGGCAGCTCCACCAAATTATTGCTGATCATGCGTGCCGGCAGATATTGTCGGGGCATCAGTTGCTGACCGCTCGCTGGATTATACAGCATGAACGGCTGATAAAAGTGCTGCCCATTTTGCATGCCCTGGTACAACTGTGCGTATGCGCAATGCAGCAAGAATATCGCCGCCAGCTGGCTAAGTGGCGCAAGGCAACCCATTCTATTGACGACTCACGAGGTTGTGCTCCACTTGACGTACTGAACTGTCCAGTTGGAGGCTGCCTGAAAAGCTGTGGGTTTTTCTAGCTTTTCCCGCACAATTGTCCAAACAAAATGTGTGTGTGTGTGTGTTTGCTCAGCTCGCCCCCAATTCATATCAACTACTTTATTCTAGCAGCTAAATGGCGTGGAAAATATGATATATATTAATTTTAATTATTTGCAGTCGGCAAAACGCGCGTTAAATGTGTCAATGCCGGCCGATAGGGCCCAAAGGCTGCAGTTGGCTAATTAATCAACATTATTTTAGTTTTCCATGACATGGTGCGATTGTTTAGTTGGGCGTTTGTTACGTCTGCTAGAAATGCAAATGTAACTAAATTGCACACCTGACACTTTTAAATGTGTCAAAATTACATGAGACGCTCAATTTACGCAAGCAACACGCAGCTTGCTAACAACAACAACAACAACAACAACAACAAAGGTAACAAAGGTAACAACAACAAAATGAAATTGTCATCGGCATCGCAATCCGTAACGTACTATGCTTTCAAGCGGACAGACACAATATTGTGCCGTAAATGGCTTTTAAAATCGTATTTGGTCTTTCTTGATTTTGTCATGCATTTCACATTTATTTGCCAGCCACAATAACCGAAATAAAGGTAAGAGTTTGTAATTTTTTCAAGTGATTTTTTTTTAAAGTCGGTTTCAAAACACGACGGAAATCGAAATTAAAAACTGTTTTAGCAGTTAAATATGTGCATAGATAACTTTATTTGAGAAATGTTTGGGACAACCTTGTATTGGTTCAAAGCCACCCAAATGTGGTTGGAAATTTTTGTTATTTACCCTATGTAAGTATACATAATTATGACTAATTTATGTCTTGGCTAAGATGCGGGCGTTGCTCCACCCGCAAGGTTATCGAAGAAGCCACAATTTGGAAAATATTATTGGAAGGCCAAACACCCCAAAATAAATATAATTTTGGAGTTAATAAGTATGGCCCTTGAAAAAAGACACTGACTTAAGTCGAGCTCTTTCCCATCAATATATATTATATACGACAGATTCCAGCTGGTTTACAGCTAATATTCTTATTAGAATGCCGCTACAAAGGGCCTTAACATGATTACTCCACACTTTACATATGACTCCACGTCTTACAGCAAGATATTTACTGCAGTTCGTTCACTCTGTTACATTACTTAGAAGCATGCTTATTTGCATTTTTTGGTTGGATAAATCAAGTTGTTTAATAAAATGGCATACTGTTACTGATATGTACACAACTATAACCATTTTCAAGAGACCTTCAATAACGTCAAATCTTGAAACCTCAAAAATAATCAAACTCATACCAATAACCTCTGTAGGGGGTATTATAATTTTATCCTGAAATTTATAACACATGTAAGAATACAATTAGAATACATAATATTATGTAAAAATTGTTGATCAGTGTCAATAGCCGAGTCGTTGTAGCCATGCTCGTTTGACTAGTCTCTCATTTTCGAACTACTATTTCATAAAGCTCCCATCAAGTATTGTTAGTTTCACTATGCACCTTATGTAAAGTCAAATTATCAAAATTGGACTACTGTATCATACCAAACATTTATATTCTGTAAAATATTTTTGCTAAGCTCAACAATCAACAAAACCCTCAGCGTTTAGTATAAAGGCTTAAATTTGAAGTGCCGAAGATCTCCTTCTTTCAAGCTGAAATTTAAATGTAAGTAACGGCAGTAATGCTGCAACCGCTGTTATTAACAGTTCAGCAAATGTACAATTGTGTGCGCTGTTAAGTGCACTGTTAAATGAACAGCTGACCATTTTTGTCCGTCCAACTCAGCAAAAAAAATACCAGAACCGAACTAATAAATACCAAACCAACGCAGCAATTTTTGTTGTGTCCGCAGCGAAAATGTTTAAACTCGGTTAAAATAACACAAGCAATATATAATTAGCTCGCGGTTTAGCAATCAAACAGTTTGATCTAAAACAAACCATTGTTAGTCTGAGTAATATGGGCGATTTCTTCAAGTCGCTGAACTTCAACTACTTTAACACCACATCCAGCTTGAGCGATGCTGGTGGCAATGGTGAAAGAGGAGGAGGCGGAGGAAGTGGAGGAGGAGGTGCCAGCAATGCCACAGCCAATAGTGGCAGCCTGGACAATGATTACGTTGGGCAATGCCTGGAGATATCTGGCCAAAAGCTGCGCACAAAATGTGTCATAGCCGAAGGTTAGCAAGAATTCAACAAATTACAAACTGCAAGGGCATAAAAATCAATAGGCAATGGAGTCCAAAAAGGGACTGCATTCGTCAGACATTTTATAATTACACTCAAAACTGGCGTTAATGACACCTCAACGTCAGCTGAGGTCTCTTTTTGTTGCGCTTTCTGATTTTCGCATTGAAACAGAATGGAAAACTTGTTGCTTTGTTAACGAGCATCGAGAGATGTTCATGTTCGTGCTGCATTTGTATTGGTGACCAAGTTGTCAGCGAAGAAGTTCAAACGTTCTTCGCCATGTTCTCTTGACCCAGCATGACTCATGTTGCCACACACTCACACACACACACGAACTCGCACAATAATTACTCCCAGAATTTGTGCTACATAAACAATGCATATTTAATTATATAAATGTGTGGTTCGGATCATTGCTGGAATTGAACGCCCCCGCTTATCAGTGTGTTTTTGTTATCAAACATTTCCCCGTTCTCTTTGCAGGCGGCTATGCGTTTGTGTACGTCGCGCAAGATGTAAAAACTGGCACGGAGTACGCCCTCAAGCGGCTGATCGCCGCCGATCAGCAGGCCTGCCGCGCCATCAACAATGAGATTAGCGTGCACAAGCAACTATCTGGACATGGCAACATTGTCACTTGCATCGGCTCCAGCTGCATTGCTCCAACGTCGCAGCAGGGTGCACAATTCCTGCTGCTAACCGAACTCTGCAAGGGTAAGTGATGGCTTGCTGGTATCGATTCTATCTCATATATGCATATGTTCCACAGGTGGCTCCTTGGTGGACTGTTTTAGGGCGGAGAATGTGGCGTTCGATCCGCCCGTTGTCCTGCGCATATTCTATCAAATGGCTCGCGCCGTTGCCCACATGCATACACAGTCGCCGCCCATAGCACATCGTGATATAAAGGTAATCCTGGATTGGATGAATAATTGGATTAAGCAATGTTTAAATCTTTGTCTTATTTGCCATCAGATTGAAAATTTCCTTATTGGCAATGATAAGCAAATCAAACTTTGCGACTTTGGCTCGGCCAGCAAGGAGCTGCTGGCGCCCACATTTGAATGGAGCGCACAGCAGCGCAACATGCTCGAGGACCAGCTGAATACGGTGACAACGCCCATGTATAGGGCGCCCGAAATGCTGGACACCTGGTCGAACTATCCGATCGGTCCCAAGGCGGATATTTGGGCGCTGGGCTGCATTCTATATTTCCTGTGCTATCAAAAGCATCCGTACGAGGATGGCGGCAAGCTGCGCATCATCAATGCCAACTATATTATGCCACCGGACTCTCGTTATCATTGCTTCCGAGAGATTATAAAGGGCTGCTTTAAGGTGAATCCAGCCGAGCGTTACGACATCTCGATGGTGCTGGAGCGCTTGGCGGCCATTGCCGAGACGCACAACTGGTCACTCAAGGGACCATTGGATTTGCGCGGCATGCCCATTGAAACGTCGTCAGCTGAGAGCCCGGCGAGAAGTGTGCCCGAAGTGAGCCAATCCGAGTTCTATTGTGACAATCCAAATCCGACGGCCACGCCCTCAACATCTGCGCATATGCCACAAGCTGCGGGCGCTGGCTCGAGTTCTGCGTCCAGCCATGGCAACGGGAGCTTGCTTTCCTCGTTGCGCGGTGGTGCGGGCACTCTGTTCAAAAACCTGAAGGACACCTCAACCAAGGTGATGCAAACCATGCAGCAGTCCATTGCACGCAACGATCTGGATATAAGTCACATCACTTCGCGTATTCTGGTTATGCCCTGCCCCTCGGATGGCTTTGAGTCCACATACAAGACGAACAACATTGAAGATGTGCGTCTGTCGTTGGAGAGTCGCTTTGCGCCGCAAAAGATAAGCATTTATAACTTTGGAGCACGGACTGTGCCCCGCCTGCCGCCGCCAGTGCGCACCGTGGAGGCGGGCTCTGTTTACGGTTGCCCACAGGCGCATGCACCCAATCTGCAGGTAAGTGTGCAGACACACTTTTGCGCCTTACCTTTACAATTAACACCTGTCGTATTTGCAGGGCCTGTTCACTGTCTCGGCGGATATGTACAACTTCCTAAATGCAGATCCCAAATCTGTTGTCATTGTGCAAACGGGCGACTCCGGCGGCTGCACAGCAGCCACTGTCATTTGCGCTCTGCTCATGTACGCCGATCTGCTGCACGAGCCGGAGGATGCGGTGCAGGTGTTTGCTGTTAAACGTCACACCATCAATTTGCGCGCCTCCGAGTTTCGTTATCTATACTATTTTGGCGATATATTACGTCCGACACCTCTGTTGCCGCACTACAAAAACATCAACCTAGTTTCAATTAGCTGCCAGCCCGTGCCGCGCATGACAAAGGCGCGTGATGGCTGCCGCATTTACATGGAGGTTTACTGCAACGAGAAGCTGCTGCTCACCACGTTGCAGGAATACGAGAAAATGCGGTAAGTGATGCACCTTAGTTATATTATTTTTCATACTGTTGACTAACTTTTCTCCTTTCCTCTGCAGCTTATACCTCGCGGGTCCTGGCAAAATTGTTTTGCCCATCAATTTAACAGTTTGCGGCGATTTGACTGTGGTTTTGTACCATGCGCGAAATGCGCTAAAGGGCATGGTGCGTCCACAGGGCCTCAAGATTTGTCAGTTCCAAATTAACACTGGCTTTGTGCCCGAGCCGGAGACACTAATTACGTTCAACGCTCATGATCTCGATGATCTGCCTGATCCAGAGCAGGTGCCGCCAAACTTTTGTGTATCGCTCTCGTTGAGCGTTACGGAAACGGAGACTCTGCCCAGCCACAAGCCGCCGTGGCTGCCAGCCAAGGCCAAGCGTGCTGCGCAAAATCTATTTAGCTCCGATTTGGAGTATGTCGAGATGCTGGATAATTTTGGTAAGCACCCGCCCAGCTTCAGCTTCATCAAGATCTATTTGATTAAAATCTCTCTGGCTTGCAGTAACCAAACCCACGACACAATCCTCACCGCCACCGTCTGTTACAAAGCCGGAGCGATCTAGCTCACCGCTGGTGCTACCCGATGTCACGGAAATTGCTCATGATGCACCGGCAGCAATGCCAGAACCCTCGCCGCCCATCGACTTGCTCAATCTGAATCAGCAGCCAAGTGCAGGCGCCTCGGCGGCTGCTGCTGATCCGCTGGCAAGCGCCATGCCCAGCTCAGATGCCAGCTTCGATCTGTTGGGCGCCTTTGGAGATGATGACTCCACGGGCATTGGATCAGCACCCATTCCGGATGTGCTGCCGCCGCCACAAGCAGCGCCACAGCCCAAAATCAATTCAGATCTTTTTGATATATTCGGCTCTATTGATCAGAGCGGTGGGATCGGCCCGACCAACCTGAAACCAACCACTAGCACAAACCTGCCACCTTTTATGGGCTCGGTACCTACCTTTGTGACGACACCGGCTGCACCCAGAAAGGAACCATCGCCTACGCAACCACAAAAACCTTTAGATCCATTTGCTGATCTTGCCAATCTGGCTTCGGATCTGAACTTAAACTTCAACCGTAGCACGCTTGGTGCCAAGTCGGCGGGCAACACGCCCGTTGGTCAGAGTCCGCAGGCCACACAATACACGAGTCCTACGCACAAACCTGCCCCGAGTCAACCACAGACTCAAGCTCAGGCACAAGCGAAACCTCAACCGCAGGCACAGCCCGCGTTTGCCAGGACCCCACCGCAGCCGCAACCGCAACCCCAGGCCGGCCAGTCGCGTCCCGACTACAGCCGCACCCACTTTGATGCGCCAAAGTCTTCGCAACAGACGGCTGCTGGAGGTGGTCCCAAGAGCTCAGACATTTTTGCAGATATTCTGGGACAACAGGGCTACTCGTTTGGCAGCAAAATGAATCAGGGTCCACGCTCCATCAACGAAATGCGCAAAGAGGAGCTGGTCAAGGATATGGATCCCAAGAAAGTGCGCATAATGGAATGGGTAAGCGTATAACTATTAACTTAAACTTAGCATTAATATATTGATTAATGTTGGACTTACAGACCGATGGCAAGAAGAACAACATACGCGCCTTGCTCTGTTCCATGCATACGGTGCTCTGGGAGAATGCCAAATGGCAGCGCTGCGAAATGTCCACCATGGTTACGCCGGCTGAGGTAAAGAAGGCCTATCGACGTGCCTGCCTGGCCGTGCATCCCGATAAAGTATGTGAACTGATTAAAAGTCGAAAAGTATTTAAATTTCTATATATATAAATATTTACAGCATAATGGGACCGAGCACGAGGAAATAGCCAAGCTCATTTTTATTGAATTAAATAATGCTTGGACGGATTTTGAGAACGATGCCACGCAGCAAAACATGTTCAATGCATAAAATGCGTCCTTAAACTATAATATGTACACATATACATATATAGTTTTAACACAATCCTTCTATTAGCTAAAACTAGTATAAAGCCATTTAAGAGTTTAAGCTTTAATGTGTAAAGTAAAAGTATTTGTGTATGCCGCATAAGGCATACGCATTTTAGTTAGCCCAAAATGAATCCGATTTGAAATTCTAAAATATCTACGGACAATTTACTTAATTTTGTAATTAAATCTTATGCGCCCACATTCCCATGTATGCCCATATTACGAGCATACAAGAAAAACTGTATTCAATACACGGAGATAGTGTGTGCAGCAGATAATACAATTTAAGGATCTGACGATGATCCAGATCCTTAAAGCAGTTTTATCTGTGCATGCTATAGCTATTATTTGTCTGACTAACGATTCGATATATACTCAATCAACAGCTCAATTATAATTGGCGTTCAAAACAAAAATGACCTGTTCCCAACCCAATATGTGATTATAAACACGCCTATGCAGATATGGAAACTGAATAAGTTTATATAACTAAATATATATATATATGTCGTGTATCCAATAAATTATTGTGAGTATTATTTTGAATGCTAACGATTAAGTGTTAGTAAGAATCAGAGAATTTGACAGAAGGTACTGCTATTTAACATAACTGTCCTACTTGTATTAGGGTTGCTACTGAAAGCATGGTGTGAGACAAAAAAGATAGTCTCTGCCGAGCATGGCCCGAGTGTGTTGTATAACGTCCAGTTTGCTATAGTGTTGAATGTTCACTAACAGTACTAAAAGTCAGAGAAGAATATAGAATGACAAGAACATGAGTAGTATGCTCGAGGACGATGAAAATTATTCATTCTAAAAGTGGAAGTCATAGAGAACAGACGTGCTCGCTCCTAAAAATATAATTATTTTGTGACTATAACGACACTCGGGACTTGCTGTGCTGCCAGTATGCCTAATTGCAAAGAAAGTGATTTCTCTGTTCCGACATCAGAAGTGGGATCAGGCGATGCCCCTCCACGAGGCAATTCTGACGATTCGTGGCGTCAGCTTTTGGAATCTCAAAATCGAAATATTCTTGAGATTATTAAAGCAATGCAGATGTCAAATTCAGCATCCTCAACAAAGAAGAGCATCTCGTTGCCAAAGTTCAACCCGGACATTGCAGGCGCAGATGCAAATGCCTGGTGCAAAACTGTAGACATAATACTTGACGATAATCCTATTGAGGGCAGTACACTGGTGATGACCCTCAGCGGCTCCCTAGAAGGAAGCGCCTCGCCCTGGCTTTCTCAAATATGCTATACTGGAATGAACTGGCAAAATTTTAAGGAATTGTTTTTGCAACGTTTCGTGGGAATGGAAACATCGGCGGCAACTTTAATGAACATTTTTAATGGCCGACCGAATGATGGCGAATGCCTCTCCGTATATGCGAGCCGTCTTGTGACGTCACTTTTATCCAAATGGAAGACAGCGAACATGGAGGAAATTGCAGTCTCAGTTGTTTTGGCACATACATCGAAAATCGACAAAAGTCTGCAACGTATGTTATATACGACTAATATTAAAAGTCAAGACGAGATGCAACAGCATCTGAAGGCCTATGCTTATGGAAGGTCAAATGGAGGTCTACAGCCAAATATCCCAATGGAACCAGATCGCAAGAGATCGAAAACATATGGCATTAAATGTCATCATTGTGGAAACCTCGGACACAAAATGGTCGAATGTCGCAAGAGGAAGTATGAAGAAGGCAACGTGTCAAAAAACTCAGCATTACCTAAAGTTCGATCTGCCGTTACCTGCTTCAAATGTGGCGATGCTGGCCACATTGCGTCTTCATGTACGAAAGGAGTTTCTACGAGCGGTGTTGGATCACATGAGAAGCGTATAAACATCTGTTGTGTGTCCGAGCCAAAAGGAATCCTGCGTCAATCTGGTGAGTTCGTTCCATTTTGTTTTGACTCTGGAGCGGAATGTACGCTCATCAGAGAGAGTTGGGCCGAGAAATTTTCCGGAAAAAGAATTAATAATTTGATAGTTTTGAGGGGTATTGGAGAAAATCCTGTGTATAGCACTATGCAAATCTTGGCTACTGTTAAAATTGATCAGTACTCCTTAGAAATATTATTTCATGTAATAATGGATAAGTTTTTGAAATACGATGTATTGATAGGCCGTGATATACTCGGATTAGGCTTTGGAGTCTCCATCGAGGCCGACAAATTTGAAATGTACAAAACCAAAACTGTTGATGTACTAATAAAAGTGCCAGATATAAGTTACGTAGAGCATCTGAATAACGATAGAGCATTAAGCAACACTGATAAGAATCGTCTGCTAGAATTATTGCAAAACTATGCTGATAAATTTATTGAGGGTATTCCTCAAACGCGAGTGACTACGGGTGAACTTGAAATCCGCCTGCTTGACCCAAATAAAACTGTACAAAGGCGTCCGTATAGGTTAAGCATAGAAGAAAAAGAAGTCGTGCGAAATAAAGTAAAAGAATTGTTAGACGCAAACGTTATACGTCCTAGTTGCTCTCCATTTGCAAGCCCAATGCTGATGGTAAGAAAGAAAAATGGAACCGATCGACTATGTGTCGATTATCGGGAACTGAATGCTAATACGGTCGCTGACAAATATCCGCTGCCTTTGATTTCTGATCAAATTAATAGACTGAGTGAAGGCAAATATTTCTCCAGTTTAGACATGGCAAGTGGTTTTTACCAAGTTCCAATACACCCAGACTCTATCGAGCGCACTGCTTTTGTCACGCCAGAAGGACAGTATGAATTTTTGGCCATGCCTTTTGGATTAAAAAATGCTTCCTCGATTTTCCAGCGCGCAATCGTGAGAGCATTGGGTGATTTGGCTCAAACGTATGCCATCGTCTATATAGATGACGTGTTAATTCTAGCGAAGACAAAGGAAGAGGCACTTGAAAGGCTACAAACGGTCTTGGAAAACTTGTCTAGAGCTGGATTCTCATTTAACATTACAAAATGCTCGTTCTTGAAAACAAGCATAGAATATTTAGGATACTTGGTTGAAGCGGGTCAAATTCGACCAAATCCACGCAAGATACAAGCGTTGGCCGAATTACCGTCACCGCAGTCAGTAACGCAGGTGCGACAATTCATAGGCCTAGCCTCGTATTTTAGGCAATTCGTACCAAAATTTTCTGAGCAGATGAAAGCTTTATATAATCTCACCTCCAAAAATAATAAATTTGTCTGGAAGCCGGAATATGAGGAAATTCGTCAAAAAATCGTATCAATTTTGACTAATGACTCCGTTTTGACAATTTTCGATCCACTAAAGCCAATGGAATTACATACAGACGCAAGTTCTATTGGATATGGTGCTATTTTAATGCACAAGATAGAAAATAGACCCAGAGTCATTGAATATTACAGCAAATGTACGACAATGGCTGAAGCAAAATATCATTCATACGAGCTTGAGACCCTCGCAGTTTACAACGCAGTAAGACACTTCCGCCATTATTTACATGGTCAAAAATTTATTGTGCATACAGATTGCAACTCCCTGAAAGCAAGTATCAAAAAAATTAACCTTACCCCAAGGGTACATAGATGGTGGGCATATCTGCAATCATTTGATTTCAGCATTGAATACAGGAAGGGAGAACGCATGTTACATGCTGATTTTTTCTCGCGCAATCCGTTGCCTACTGATTATAAATCCTCAGCGAAAACGATTGAAATGCACATAAACCTAGCTGAGATAACCGACGATTGGCTTCTAGCCGAACAGCAACGAGATTCTGACATTGCTTCCATAACCTTAAAATTGCGAAACCATAAGATGGGAGAAGCTATCTCAGCGTCGTACGAATTGAGAGCAGGAGTATTATATCGAAGGATTCAAAGAAATGACAGCACAAAATGTTTGCCTGTAATACCTAGAGCCTTTAGATGGTCAGTCATTAACAATGTTCACGAAGCCATAATGCATTTAGGGTGGAAGAAAACTCTAGACAAAATGTATGCCAACTACTGGTTCGAGAAGATGTCTAAGTATGTGAAAAAGTTTGTAGAAAATTGCATTACCTGTAGAGTGTCAAAACCACCATCTGGTAAGCCACAAATAGAAATGCACCCGATTCCTAAAGATGACATACCCTGGCACACTGTGCATATTGATATAACCGGAAAATTAAGTGGCAAAAACGACTTAAAAGAGTACATCATAGTTCAAGTTGATGCATTCACAAAATTTGTTCACCTTCAACATACGCTGAACCTTAATACGGAAAACTGCATTAAGGCAGTCAAAGAAACTGTTGCACTATTCGGAGTGCCGGCACGCATCATAGCTGATCAGGGTAGATGTTTTGCTAGCACAAGGTTTAGGGAATTTTGTTCTTCGCAGAAGATAGGTTTACACCTGATTGCGACGGGCGCCAGTCGAGCAAACGGCCAAGTAGAGCGTGTCATGAGCACCTTGAAGAGCATGCTCACAGCGGTTGAGAGTAGTCAGCGATCCTGGCAAGACGCTTTAAAAGACATACAGCTGGCAATAAATTGCACGACAAATCGTGTAACGAAATATAGTCCGTTAGAATTGCTAATCGGTAAAGAGGCAAGGCCGTTAGGAATGATAACAATATCAGATGAAAAAACAATTGATAAAGATTTAATAAGAGCACAAGCGAAAGATAACATGGTGAATAACGCTAAATATGATAAGGCTAGGTTTGATAAAAATAAAACAAAAATTGTAAAATATAAGCTTGGTGATCATGTCCTACTCAAGAGGGAAGAACGAAATCAAACGAAGTTAGATCCCAAGTTTAAGGGACCTTTTGAGATAATCGAAATACTTGATGGAGACAGATATTTATTAAAGTCATTGACGAGTAAGCGCACGTTTAAGTATGCACATGAGTATTTGCGAGCTTTTCCAAGCAACAATGTATCGGAGGAGTTGATAGATTTGAGAGATGATGAGTGTGACAATGTTGAGGACATTGCTCAAGACACTGTGGCACTAAGAGAGAGTGCGGTTGGGCTCATACACGATGGCTAAGACCGCACCATAATACTCACGCCGTGCACAAGTGCTCGATCATGGCGTGCTGAAGCGGGTGATATTATGGCGGGGGTCAGAGGTTGAAAGACCTGTATGGATCCGCTCCATGTTATCGTTGCTGGGCAGCAAGAGCCTATAGACGTGTGATGACAGAACAACAACAAAAAAAAAAAAAAAAAAAAAAATAAAAAAATAAAACCTACAATGACCGATGATACTGCTGTTTGTAAAGCTATTCTTAAAGTAAAGTAATGACTAATAAATTTTACCCAACAATTTTGACTATGGCATGATCTAAGCGAAATGTACACACGAGGACGTGTGAAATGTCAGGAAGGCCGTGTCGTGTATCCAATAAATTATTGTGAGTATTATTTTGAATGCTAACGATTAAGTGTTAGTAAGAATCAGAGAATTTGACAGAAGGTACTGCTATTTAACATAACTGTCCTACTTGTATTAGGGTTGCTACTGAAAGCATGGTGTGAGACAAAAAAGATAGTCTCTGCCGAGCATGGCCCGAGTGTGTTGTATAACGTCCAGTTTGCTATAGTGTTGAATGTTCACTAACAGTACTAAAAGTCAGAGAAGAATATAGAATGACAAGAACATGAGTAGTATGCTCGAGGACGATGAAAATTATTCATTCTAAAAGTGGAAGTCATAGAGAACAGACGTGCTCGCTCCTAAAAATATAATTATTTTGTGACTATAACGACACTCGGGACTTGCTGTGCTGCCAGTATGCCTAATTGCAAAGAAAGTGATTTCTCTGTTCCGACATATATATACATATATAAATACGAGTACATATATAACTGTTTGTAAAAATTAATGATTATGTGTGGTAGACCAATCCAACTATACTAAATAGAATGTAAAAGCTTTGATTTATTGTTAACCCAAAACAAACCCTTTTATTTTCAGCATTTAAATCGAAATCCATACATAATACACAAAGCTAAGTAATAAATTCTCTATGCATTTCTCTGTGAAGTGGTACTGTTAGAACGGATTCTTTTCTTATTGGGATTATCCTTTTCAACCCTTGACCCGCTTGCCAGCCACAAATACGGCTGTTATGTTGCGATCGTCGGCAGTAAAGATAAATTTCTCCAATAGCTCGTCTACGGTGAGCGTACGATGTGGTTTCTCCAGCACGCTTACGTCCACCAGAAGAGCATCGAAATCTTTGCCAACAGCAAAGTTTCCGGTTATGTGATCCAGTGCCAATGCCTTAGCCCCACCCAAGGTGGCCAAATAGAAAGCCTGTTTGTAGGACAACTGCTGGTAGTCGTTATCCTGCACTTTGGCTGTGCCCGTGCCGCAAATGTGCTGCTTCTTGAAAAACTCCAGATGCTTGGAAACATCCAAAGTCCGCTGTATGGCATTCAGAATCGATATGGAATTTCCTCCAGCCACATCAGTTCCTAGGCCCACATTTACACCCGCTTTGATAAGACGTTGTACATCGCACAGGCCCGAATTAAGATTCGTATTGGAAGCAGGACAATGTATAATGGCGGTTCCACGCTCTCGAAGCAATGCGATTTCGTCATCCTCCAGATGCACACCGTGCGCCATGACAGTCTTTTTGGTCAACAGTCCTGCATCATCATAGGCGCCTGCATAGCTGGTTCTAAAAATATCCTTCACCACTTGAATCTCTTCCAGATTCTCGCTAATGTGACTCTGCACATGCACATCCTGGCTCCTGGCTATGTCGCCCAGTCGCTGCAACAGCTCCTTGCTGCAGCTAAGCGCAAAACGCGGCGTTATTGTGGGCAGCACCAGGGGATTCCCCAGCTTGCGTATTGCCGCAACAAATTCCTCGGTGCCCTCAACCGCTACATTCGTCGATTCTCTGCAAGCAAATAATAATTATCTCAATTGATCTCAATCAATTGTGATGCTTCAGATGCTCACACATAGTAGTCGGGACTGTTGCAATTGGAGCAGACCTTGCCAATCAATGCCCGCTGACCCTGACGTGCCGCTTCCTTGGCTAAAATCAGCGTGGAACTCAAGTCGTTGGTGGCAAAATAGGAGGCCAATGTGGTGCCGCAGCGTAGCGTAGCTTCCTATAGAGTATTAAGTTATCAGCTGCTGATGTAACTGAGCACACATCTAAGCATGTCTTGTGTGTGAGTGTGTGTGTGAGAGAGAGAGAGAGAGAGTGAGAGCCGAATGTTCAAGATCGGCAAGTGCATTCGTGTGTGTGTGTGCTTGAGAGTGAGAAGTCATGTGTGTGAGTGTGCGTGTGTTTGTGTGTGTGTGGAAACGTGCCATATGATAAGAATCTAACTATGAATATAAGCGAAAAATAATTATATTTAACCGTATCTTACGACAACAGCCCTGTAGATCTCCAGCGCAAATTCTTGGTCAACATATTTGGCTTCAGTGGGAAATGTGTACTTATTTAGCCAGTCCAGCAGAGGAACGCTCATGCCCAGGCCAATTTGGGCATATTGGGGGGCATGAATGTGTGCGTCACAAAAGCCGGGAGAGAGAAACTGAAATTCCGACAAGCGCACTTCGGCTACTGATTTGGGATCGATCTTTGCGGTCGCCAACCAATTCTGGTAATCATTGCCAATGCCAATTATCTAAAGGGGAACATTTAATCAATAACTATTCCAAGGAGAATCAAATCTTATAACGCAACGTATTTAATTACGTTTTTAATATTTACATACCTTTCCATCGTCAACAGCAATGAAGCCTTGCTTAAAAGACTCAAATTCATCAAAAGATTTGGTGTGCACAATAGTTCCGCAATATACGATAGGCATGTTTACTTAGCAACGTGTTCCTCAAGACGATCCGAAACTATGCCTGATAAACAAGTATTTAAATTGTTTGCAGCAGTCTTTTTGTAATCCAAACAAGTTGGCAGCACCAATTGAAAGCTGCTATGCTGAATGGTGAATATAGGTTTTGGCGGGTTAATTGATTTTGATTAAAGTTGAACTGGCTTATGTCAAGTAGACTCATTTATTGTTTTTAATATTTAATTTGTTTATTAGACTATTGTTATCACGTTGACACACATTCGTGTGCTTTTGCTTTGTGGCCAATCAAAAAGCTGTTATGATATTCAAATCAAACCTGTTTTTCTGAAATACAGCTGGTCACTCTGTTGTCGCTTTAACGATTTTCAGCTGATTTGTTATCGATAATTATTAGCAAAATGAAATACGAGTAAAAGAGGGACTATGCTTAGTATATCCCATATTAGTTTTTACACTTGCTTAGCCCAGACAAGCTCATTTACCAATAATAATGTAATCAAAGCAGTATAGTTGTTTTTGTTGTGGGTGTTTCTTGGCGCCAAATTACCAAAATTATAAGTGCACAGTGTCCAATGGCGACGTAAACGTATATTTTTGTTCAAATTATCCAAGCATACATTAAGACAAAGCGTCTCACGCAATCCGAGTGCATTATTCGTCAACATAAATTGCACAAAAAACTGCGCGCATAAAACTGGTTTGGCTCAAGACGATTTGCCATCTATTGTGAAATGTGAGTATGATGAAATATGTTCATATGCTGGATGATGAAATATGCAAATACGCGGGAAAGGGGGCTCGACGAGACGGGCAAATGGGTTTTTATATGCATACATATACAGTTATTATTTATATGCAACTGTTTACGTATATGCTTGTGGTATTTACAACTGTTTATTGTGTATAAAATTGACACGTACTCATTGTGAACATATTTATACACGTAATTCCCATCGAAAGCTTTCTTTGAAATAAATAAAAACAAAAGATAATTACGCCAGAAGTGCAAATTTGTTATCTGATTTATTCATTCAGCGTCGTCGCAGCTGATCAAAACAAATACATACATAGCTGGCAATTTGTATAGAAAACCAAGGAGCAGAGCCAACAACGACAAAATGCGAAAAAACATACAGAAAGCACGGCCCAATAACGAGCGGTACATTCAAGCTAAGCTTAACCGACTGCTGCATGCGCTCTACGCATTCGCTGTTACAAATACAAGCACATCAACAGTGACAAGTTGGCGCAGTGCGAATATGCCCCATTGTAGAGAACAAGCAACGGAAAGCTCTTACGTGCGATTGCCACAAAGCAAGAACAAGTTATAAACAAAATCGAAAGGCAGCTGAAAACAAAAAGCACAAAAAGTACATACAAGATGCGAAGAGCAGCCAAAAGCAAGTTAGCCAAAAAGAAAAAAAAACAACTACATATATATGTATGTGTACATATGCGCGCATATTTACATGTGCATGAGTATGTGTGTATGTAAAGACTGGGCCAAAGCGCCAGCGTCCCCAAAATCGATTTTTTCGTGCCAGTGACACAATCGTACACAAGAAGCACAATAACGGTTCGAAACGGTAAACGTTCTGATTTAGGCGAAAGCAAAAGGCGCTTAATATTAAAAGTTTATTTTGCAGCATTGGTAAATTAATAATAAATATTAATTGTGAATTTCAAGTATTTATGCAGTGTATATGGGAACAGCAATACCTGCTCTGTGCTGTGTATGTATGAGTGCGTGCGTGTGCGTGTGTGTGTGTGTGCGCACATAAACAAGAGTTTCAAGGTCGCCCCGCTGCAAGCAGCAAAAGAGGCCAAGCCAAAAATATAATGTGTACGCTAAATGGCGCACTTGTCCGAAAATGTTTACAAAATACATGTTGTGAGTTTTCCTTTGTTCTTTTGCTCTCTGTTTTTACAGTTAGCAGCCACAATATGGAATCGTTTCTTAGTCTATTCGATCCCAACCAGCCGGACGATGGCTTCGATGAGGAGCAGGAGCTGAATGGCAACAGCAGCGGCAGCAGCGAGTACGAGGTGGATGCCAATGTCAATGGCAGCAAAAACAAGACCAACAAAAACAAGATCTGCAAAAGCAACAGCAACAACAACAACAATATTAGCAACAGCAATCTAATCTTTGACTTTGAGCAGGGCGCCCTGCCGCCCGAGCCGCAGCTGGGCAATGTGGAGTATAAGCTGAAGCTGGTTAATCCGTCGAAGCAGCGTTTCGAGCATTTGGTCACGCAAATGAAATGGCGCCTGCGCGAGGGCCACGGCGAGGCCATCTATGAGATTGGTGTTTCGGATGCGGGTCATCTGCAGGGCCTGAGCGAGAAGGATATGAATGCATCGCTGACCACGCTCAAGCAAATGGCCCATCATTTGGGCGCCAGCACATCCGTGCTGAGGAGCAAGACAGTTGCCGGGCGGCGATCCGTTGCCGAGGTGCTGGTCCGCAAGATACCCGACGATCAGCACAACATTGAAGTGCGCGTGGCGGTATTGGGTGGCGCCGATGCGGGCAAATCCACGCTGCTGGGCGTGCTCACCCAGGACGAACTGGACAATGGACATGGACGCGCGCGCCTCAATATGTTTCGGCACATGCACGAGATTCAGTCCGGTAATCGCTTAATACTTAAGATTCCTAGCTACAGTCACTAATCCAGGCTCCCTGCACAGGTCGCACTTCTTGCATCTCGCATGAAACTCTGGGATTCGACGCCTTGGGCAATGTGGTCAACTACAAATACAATGAAATGATGACGGCCGAGGAGATCAGCGATCGCTCAACCAAGCTGGTCACCTTCATGGACCTGGCAGGCCATCGACGCTACATGCGCACCACGGTCCAAGCGCTGAGCGGCTACTCGCCTCACTATGCCATGCTTGTGGTGTCCGCTGGCAGCGGCTGCAATGACACCACCGAGGAGCATCTGGCCATAGTGCGCGCCCTTGATATGCCCTTCTTTATATTGATTACCAAAACGGATATCACATCGCCGGATGCCACGGTGCAGGAGCTGCGCACACTGCTCACAAATATTGGCTGCCGCAAGGTGCCGTTTCTGGTCACCGACACGGATGAGGCTATATCGGCTGGCTCGAATCAGCAATCCGAGAATATTGTGCCCATATTTTGTGTCTCAAATGTGACTGGCACTGGTCTGAGTCTGGTCACCAAGTTTCTGTACGTGCTCTCGCCGGGCATCAGCAATGCCGAAAAGGATCGTCTCGAGCTAGAGCCTTGCGAGTTCCAAATTGATGAGATCTTTAGGGTAACCGACGTCGGCCCAGTTGTGGGCGGCCTGCTGGTACAGGGCGTGCTCACCGAAAATATGCCCATGAAAATTGGACCCCTGCCGGATGGCAGCTTTCATGCAGTCACTGTTCATACCATACATCGCAACAAGGCGCCATGTCGGGTGGTGCGCGCTGGCCAAAGTGCGTCCCTATCGTTTACGCCAACCCAGGAGCTGCCATCGCTGCGCAGCGGCATGGTGCTGCTGGGTGACTTTGGTAACCTGGATGAACCCTACGGCACTTACTTCTTTCAGGTTGGTGCAGCGCTGTCGAGATTCACATTTTACACTTTAATAACTTACTGTCTCCCATTGCAGGCCAAGGTCTCGGTGCTGTTCCACGCAACAGCCATTTATGTGGGCTTTCAGACCACGGTGCACATCGGCAGCATACGCCAGACGGCTGTTATACGCGGCATAATGGGTGGCGAGAAGCTGGGCACCAATGATTCGGCCTCTGTTATGTTTGAGTTCGTTGGACATCCGGAGTATGTGCGACCCGGCATGCGCATACTGTTCCGCGAGGGCATGTCCAGCAAGGGCATAGGCGTCGTCACCCAAGTATTTCCCGTCAACAAGACACGCACGAAGTAAACTCTGCGCCTGACCAGTGGACAGCTTAATACTTATTAAAGCTTATCAATATATCTCAATACGGATAACATATGTAGACATGTACATATTATTTACGACTAGAGTTTAGAGATTTCGATTAGCGTATGCAAAATAATGCGTATATGCCGCGAACTTGTAGCAGATCTTCTTTACATTTAGTTTCGAGTTCTGTGATTTTTATTTTAAGCTCAATTCCTCCAGTATATAAACACAGTTGCGTTACGGATAACTGATTCATTAGACAATGCAATTTCAAATTGAAAATAATGTACGAATTTTAATTTTGCCCACGAATACTTAATAAAGACCAGACGATAATATACTCCACAAACAAGCATGTTGCTCAGCAATTCATTTATTTCAAAGAACACGCTACGGTCTACTGCCAGACTGTTCCTTATTGCTACTCGTATCCCGGGTGTGCGCTGGCATGTTGGAGGGGCCTTCGATTTGCTCGGCCTTGTCGGGCAAGGTCGAGGTGAACCTAAAGAGTACGGGTATTTCGCCTAGCGCCGCATTGCCATGCGCCTCGAGCAGACGAATCCACGAAAGCAGTGAATCCTTGGTGGAGGTGCCAGTCGCGCAGATGGCGAATATGGTGCCATCGTCCTGCTGGTGGACCGAGCGCAGCTTGCCCAGCTGGTTGTGGCGACGCGGCGGTGCACGTCCAAAGAACGGCACACCGATCTGGGTAACATCATCCTCATCCACCTCTCGCTCGTCCAGCTGCGCCAGAAACTCTGCATCGGCATCGGCGCGCAGCGTAAAGTAATTGATGCGTCGATTCCGTATCCATATGTTGAAAGGACCCTCAATGTAGAGCGCCTTCTGTCGGGAGTGCTCACGCAACAGCTTGGACTGCTCCGGGCTCATGCCGCTAACAATCCACGTGTCGTCCAGTGAGTCTTTTACTTCACTGGTATGGAACACCTCAACTTTGGAACGCAGATCTACCGTGCACATGCGCTCCACGGCCAGCTTGGCGATTTCTAGCGTATCGTCGGGCACGGGATCGGGCAGCGGCCATGGCGATTGATTCTTGAATTTGGGCATCCAGTACATCATGCGCCAGTACTTGCGCAGCGGATGTCCCTTGTTGCCAAACACATTCAACAGCATCGCCTCCATTTCGTAGTCCGGCATAACGCCATAGTCCTCCATCTGCTCGAGCAAATCAATGATGCACTGCTGCTGCTTGGGATAGTGCATGAACTCGGCCTGAAACAGGTTCGTCGGTATGAACTTTCCCTTGGGCATAACATCTATCAACGCCTTGTAGACCTCCAAATCGTGCTCGACCCCAAAGTCGGGCATGTGCTTGAGTGCGGCATATATGAACTCGACATGGTTCCGCCGGTGCACATCGCGTTCCGCAAAGATCTCGACCATTGTCAGATACGAATTTTTGGTCTTCTCCTGCGCAGCTGCAAACGGATTTCGTATAGCAGGCAGGCTTCTGGACGTGCCGGCATTGTTCTTTTTGCTGCTCTTTGGATCTTCTGTGTTGGCATTCTCGTTGGCCTCGTCCGTGGCATAATTTCTGGCGAAGAGCGTGGGCGCTCGCTGTCTAATGCGTGTTTGATTAACTGTGCTATGCAATCGCAATATGCCATGCAATTTGCGAATCATTTTTATTTAAAACAAATCTATTTCATAAAACTAAGCTGAACGATTATAAAACAACAACAAATGCATTTTACAGCACTGCTCAAGCAGAATCAGCTGATCCGATATCAGAACGAACTATCGATAGCTCTTAGCACGAATAAAGACTATCGAAAACGATCTATCGAAAATGAAATACTTTCTCAAATGAGTTGCCAACCACAACTTTTTAACGGAAAATATACCGCCAATGTTTAAACTTAAAAGCTGATAAGAGGAAATATTTTCGGCACACCGAAGTTTAAATACCCCTAACGACATGTGGCTTAGATATGCTTATATAAAAAGCTTAATAGGCCATTAAATAAGGTAGTCCGGTTTGACAAGGTTTTGCAGAGCTATTAGGGTAATAGTAAAGTGATATATTGGTCTGATAGTAATAGGGGTTTGCCTAAATGTAAAGTAAAGTAAAACTAATAAATGCCGAGTTTGGTCATGAATTAATAAACAATGATCTTAATAAAATTATATGTATATTTTACATACAAAAACTGAATTTTTCATCAATCGATCTTATGACAGTTATATAATACTGTGCACCGATGTTGGTATAACTAAGAAACAAACTCGTACTGCATGAGCACAAAACCAACATACCCCGTGTCCCCATTTTACCCATTACAGGGTATATAAATCAAATATTTAAGGAATACAGTTAAATAAGTCGCATGGTATGATTTTACTCAACTGCGTAGTTGTGACGTCATCGTTCGTCATAGAGTTAAGGTTATCCTGATGATAGAGGATTGAACCGCCGCCCTCATAGATCAATCAAGAATGCACGGAACTAAAATTCGATGTTTTCAATGTGACGAAAAGTCAAACGCCCGCATGTTTGACTGTGTGTGTGTGTGCGTGCTCACAATACTCTTCAGCTGCTCATATTACGAGAGATAGAGAGAGAGGGAGAGAGAGAGAGAGAGAGGGGGGGGTACGTAATTTTAGGTGGTTTTGTTTATGATGCCAGCAAAAGTCGAATGTGTTGATGATATTATGCGTCATTAAAATTTCAATGCAGCGGGCGCTGTGTGTGAATCTTGCATTTGCTCAATAAACGTTTGCGAGAAAACTGAAACTCATCAATAAGCCAATCAGATTAATTCTTTGTTTATTTCCCATTGTTTTTATATTCCCTTCTTTGCTTTGTGGTGGCACTTAACGCCACTTAACGGTGAAAAGCCGTCGATTAGCGAGACGACCGCAAAACGAGATCCAGAACCTAGCGGCAATATTACTATTTCCACAGCAACAAATCTAACTGCTTTGTTGTTGATAACTTGGCCCTAGCAATGCTCGAGTTTAGGACTACACCAGATCAGGCCACATGCGCACAATAATGACGTCAGACAATGCGTTTATTGGAATAGATATATGTGCACATATGTATGCATGTATATGCATGCAAATTGGCATGCATGCATAGGTACAGTACGCCCTCGACACACGCAATGCACAACACGCAAATTCGTGAAGATCAAAATGTCAAAGTTTTTCAAAGTACATATTTATAAAAAATAAAAAACTTATTACTTTTAAGACAAATCAATTAAGTTTACTTAGATAAATATCCTTGTGGAGACACACGGGCTAACGGGCTTGCAGATATATGGGGAAAAGTGTGAAGCTCGTAAATACTGGGTAGCCGCAGCAGCGTAAGCTGCGGAACAAAGTTTGTTTGTATTTGTGACTTTGCTTAGACACATATGCATGTGTGCGTAGAAGGAAGCTAGACCCTCAACATTTTCGGACACTGCATACCAGCGCATGATTTCGAACCGTCGAAGTTTCCTCAATCACTTTTCTAGTCGAGCACTCTCCGTTGTCTTGCTCTTGCTCTCTCTCTCACTCTCTTACTCGAGCTTTAACAACGTTTCTTTCTTCGCTCTCTTCTTCAATAATAATAATATATACAGTAACTTGTATATGGCAAAGTTAACATACACATGTATCTCGCGCGTAATAATGAATAAATAAATAAATTATGCATGTCTTATGGGAATTTTTAGTTAAGTACATATTGACATGGGTATTGTACACTTTATTTTTACCGCTAGTATATTTACATGCATACATACATACATATATAAAAATGGAGACCTGGGCACAGGTTATGTTCTAGTCTTTAATTGTAAGTATGTATGTACATATGTATTTTGATGCAATTTCATATCAAATTGAAGTGGCGAAAAGCTTCAATTACTAGAGCTTATTCAATTTTCATTTGATTATCTTATTTTTTGTTTTATTTAAAATTTGTGATTTCTACGACAGAGCGTAAACAACAAAATGAGAAGCGAACAAAAAGAAATTTCTACGTAGGCAACGTGCGTCTACAGACACACACGTATGTATGTGTGTGTGTGTGTGTGTACTATTCATTTGTTATTCTTGAGGTATGCAATTTCCAAATATTCGGCGATAAGCTCAAGCAATGCACACACACACATGGACAGACACATGCATACATAGCTGTGCACTAAATTTAGGTACCGACTGTATATAATATATATTTGCGTGTGTGTGTGTGTGCATATCTTCATAGATGTAAGCGAATCATTGCGTCGATTTATGTAAGAAACAAATTTCGTTTGTATTTGTAAATACACTTGCGGTCAAAATAATAGTACTGCATGCAATCAATTTAAGAGCATACGTTAAAAATGTACTTTGAAATTTATATCAATTTCATATTAAATGTTTTTAGACGCAGCGAGTAAACACAAGCAAAACGTGCTCTGGTCGGGAATGCCCGACTAAGGGATGCCCTGAACATTCTTCTAACACCACCAAATGACGTTCGCTACAATTAAATAATAATCAAATATATACAGAGTATATGTATTCAAAGAGTGTGAGAAATGTTTCACACTTTCCACAGAATCCATTTCTCCTTGATAGAAATGGGGCTGGAAGAATTCTTTGGTAAAGTTCAAATTTGTGTCAAATTCATTTCCAGGAAAAATGGTTTTAAACGGGATTCACATTTTTCGTAGAACCGCAGTCTCCTCGGCCAATCTATTTTCAAAATAGAGCTTTTAACGTGTTGTAGCGATTTTGGCAATTCCACCCGAAATAGTGGAAAATTGGCGAAAAAATGTATGAAATGTGTCAAACTTTGCGGCTTCAGGATTTTCAGCAGCAGACAAACATGGACTATGGACTTTAATATAGACAAACCTAAGTGGAATTCAAGATAGTACGGATTTAATACCGGGAAATACCCACTAATATATGACTAAAATCTAAACGGAGTTGGTAAAAGTCATGCAGCTCGCCGTGCGCAGGGTATTTTCTAGTCAGTCAATCTGTAAATTCCTTAGCGAATATTTACTTATTATCGATAAAAATGTGTGTTTTGATGTGATTCAGACCAAATAGATTGATTGCAACTGCGTAGCTTAGGGTATTTATTAAGGATATATATTATACGATAATGAATTTCTCAACTATTTTTTTTTACCATTTTTATCGTGCAACTTTGTGGCCAAATCTCATCCGAGTTTGGATTTTTCTTCATGGTTTTCCCTCTAGATTAATCTGGCATTCAAATCAGAACACCGATATTTTAGTCGAAATTCATGTCCAAATCTTACCCCAAGATTCGTATATACCCATGGGTCAAAATTTACCACCCCCATAACTCGGTCAAATCTCATCCGATTTTCACGAAGTTTGGTTTTTTCTTCATGGTTTTCCCTCTAGATTAATCTGGCATTCAAATCTGAACACCGATTTTTTAGTCGAAATTCATGTCCAAATCTTACCCCAAGATTCGTATATACCCATGGGTCAAAATTTACCACCCCCATAACTCGGTCAAATCTCATCCGATTTTCACGAAGTTTGGTTTTTTCTTCATGGTTTTCCCTCTAGATTAATCTGGCATTCAAATCTGAACACCGATTTTTTAGTCGAAATTCATGTCCAAATCTTACCCCAAGATTCGTATATACCCATGGGTCAAAATTTACCACCCCCATAACTCGGTCAAATCTCATCCGATTTTCACGAAGTTTGGATTTTTCTTCATGGTTTTCCCTCTAGATTAATCTGGCACTCAAATCTGAACACCGATTTTTTAGTCGAAATTCATGTCCAAATCTTACCCCAAGATTCGTATATACCCATAGGTCAAAATTTACCACCCCATATCTCGGCCAAATCTCATCAGATTTTCACGAAGTTTTGCTTTATCTTCATGGTTTTCCCTCTAGATTAATCTGGCATTCAAATCTGAACACCGATTTTTTAGTCGAAATTCATGTCCAAATCTTACCCCAAGATTCGTATATACCCATAGGTCAAAATTTACCACCCCATATCTCGGCCAAATCTCATCAGATTTTCACGAAGTTTTGCTTTATCTTCATGGTTTTCCCTCTAGATTAATCTGGCATTCAAATCTGAACACCGATTTTTTAGTCGAAATTCATGTCCAAATCTTACCCCAAGATTCGTATATACCCATGGGCCAAAATTCACCACCCCCATAACTCGGTCAAATCTCATCCGATTTTCACGAAGTTTGGTTTTTTCTTCATGGTTTTCCCTCTAGATTAATCTGGCATTCAAATCTGAACACCAATTTCTAGTCGAAATTCATGTCCAAATCTTACCCCAAGATTCGTATATACCCATGGGCCAAAATTCACCACCCCCATAACTCGGTCAAATCTCATCCGATTTTCACGAAGTTTGGTTTTTTCTTCATGGTTTTCCCTCTAGATTAATCTGGCACTCAAATCTGAACACCGATTTTTTAGTCGAAATTCATGTCCAAATCTTACCCCAAGATTCGTATATACCTATGGGTCAAAATTTACCACCCCCATAACTCGGTCAAATCTCATCCGATTTTCACGAAGTTTGGATTTTTCTTCATGGTTTTCCCTCTAGATTAATCTGGCACTCAAATCTGAACACCGATTTTTTAGTCGAAATTCATGTCCAAATCTTACCCCAACATTCGTATATACCCATAGGTCAAAATTTACCACCCCATATCTCGGCCAAA